GCTTTTTCACTTCCTCCTTCATCTTCAAGGACATATCAACTTTCATTCTTCTCAACTTTTGCTTAACTGGAGGATATTCAGGCTTCAAAGGTAACTTGTGTTTGACAATTCTGGCATTTATCCCAAGCATATCTTCGTGTGACCAAGCAAAGATATTCAAATATTCTGATAAGAGCTTAACCACTATCTCTCTCGCCCTTTTTAATTGTACTGCCAACCTTGAATTCTTTTTTTATCATTTTCTGTGCCAAAATTGATGATCTCTATCTCCTCTTAGTGAGGAACAATTTCTCGAGCTTCTTGTTCCACCATCTTCATCAATTCTGGTGAAGGCTCCCATTCTGGATCATCGTCTTCATTAGCTAAACTTGTGAGTTTATCAAAGTCATAACATGTGTGATTAGTGCTATCTTCATTAAGAGAAATACTTCCAGACCTGATTTTTATTAAAGGGAAGAAAGAAAACATGGTTATTCATACTAACCAACCAAATTGATTGATTTAGGAAGAAATTTTGGTACCCCCCCTTTTTTTGACATTTTGAAGTGAAAAGGAGTAGGTAAAGAGGAAAAAAAAGGAAGAATATAAAGAAAAAAATAACATACAGTTTATTAATATCTGAAATGTCGCCCTTATTAAAAGAATCCTACAGCTTTGAGCAGAGCAATAGGATTTGCACAAATAATTACTTTGAAGAAAAAATGACAAGTAACTCAACAACTTCCCAATTGTTCAGCTCAACATTTGGGGAGCAAGGATGCACCATCTCCATTCCATAACTGATAGCAACAGAACCTTCGACAATGGTAGTGATAAAACCAACACTTTGAAAACTTTGGTTGATATGACATAGAGGGATCTTTTCACCCTTGGGTTCTCTATTATTCTCCAGTGTTGCTCTCCTCTTTTCCTTCTTTTCTTTGAGCATTCTCCTCAAGTCTACTTTGGTTGGCTTGAATCCTAGACCACACTTTTTTCTTGTTCCCACTTAAGCTTACATATTTAACTAGTCCCTTTCCATCACGCCCTAGTCCATTTCTTGGATTTAACCTCCTTTAAGCATGACCTTCGCCATCATTAAGGATGATTATGACAAATGGAGGTTTGGCAGTACAGCCTCTTCTTTCATATAAAAGGCATTTGCAATTTCAAGGGATTGAAATAATGTTTCTAGTGCCTCTTCGGTAGCCTCAACATAAGGTGTGCTTGTAGATTTACTCACCAACATGTCTTCTTCTCCTTTGATGATGACCCGGCTTGTTACCCACTATAAATTTCAACTTCTGATGCAGGGTAGAGGAGACTGCCCCTGCAGAGTGGATCTAAGGTTGCCCCAACAAGCAGATATAAACGAGTATAATATCTATCACTTGAAAAGTGATATCAAAGGTAAATGGACCAATTTGAATTGGCAATTCTATCTCCCCCTAACCTCTCTTCTGGTGCCATCAAAAGCTCTTACCCCCATAGAACTGGCCTTCATGTGTGAAGAATCGAAAGGCAACTTTACCAAAGTGGACATCAACATTACATTTGATGAAGACCCATTATCAACCAACACTCTAGCCATTGGGTGATCTTGGCACTTCATTGAGATGTGCAAAGCCTTATTGTGCCCCATCCCTTCGATTGGGATTTCATCATTTGTAAAGATGAGAAAGTTATTGGCCACAATATTCCTTATAATCCCATCCAAATTGCCCACCGTGATGTCATGAGCCACATGTACTTCATTTAATACTTTCATCAATACTCACGTGTGGGGCTCAGAACTTATTAGCAGAGACGAAAGAGATTGGCAAGGGTCTAGCTAAGATGATCCACTACCATATACTCATTTTGCTTAATGAACTTCAAGAACACAAGCTTCTTCTGTAGATACTACCCGCTTTTGCTCTTTCTCTTTTATTGCCTATTCATTAGGCATGTACACCTTCTTCAAGCTCTTTTCTTCTACCGTCTTTCCCTTTCTCAATTCTTTTGGGAAATATATTCTTCCACTTCTAGTCACCCCTCCAATTTCAGAGATATTGTCTATTAGCACCTCTTGAGGAGTAACAGCCATTTTTGCTTCTACACCATACTTTCAGGGGACAACATTGTTGTTCTTATAAGGGAACGGGGCTGGCAAGTTGATAACCATTTTTGGCTCCCCAATAACTTGGGTTGGCGCCGCTTTAATATAGGAAATTACTAAAGGATTGGACACAACTATTGCCAGACTAGTCTCTCTTTGCAGCATCATCACTGGCCATTCCTTTTTAGAGTGCAATACTTGTACTAGGTGAGCATCCATCAACTTTTGGAGTTTAGGGATGAACAAGGGGTCTTAATTTCCTTTGGCATAATTAAGTGGCTCTTTGCACAAGTAATGCCTTGGAAAATGGCATGTACTGTAGCAAAATGGTATCGCATACCTGTGATGATAAGTTGTTAATCCATTCCTTCAATTAAAATTAATTTATTTTAATTATGTTTCTTTATTTAAAAAAATAAAAATGGAATTATTATATTTTTAAAAAAATAGCTTAAGATAATTTTTTTTAAAATATATTTCTTTAATAAAATATGCAAAAAAGAGTATTATTGTTTTAAATAATTCATTTCTTCAATTCAAATTAACTTTTTTAATTATGTTTCTTTACTTAAAAATATAAAATTAAAAATTAGAAATAAATCTAAAAATAATAATAAATTTGAAAATAGTAAAAAATATTAATTATTTTTTGAGTGAAATAAATATTTTAAAGTTAAAATAATTTTGCACAATTAATTAGAAGGTAACTGTTTTATATAACGGACGTTGTAAAGTACTAATACATTCTTTACGCATAAATGACTCTCAAATTCAAATGACTTTTCTTTTTTTAATTAAATTTTTTTTAATATTTTTTTTACTAAACTTTGGTGGCGACTCTCAATCATCATTTTTTTTAAATTGATTGTAACCCTTTTTCTACACTTCTTTTTTTTTTACAGGGTCATCATCTTGTCACTACCTCAATTGCAATAATAATTTTTTACTTTAATCAAAGCAAAATTTAACAATTTTAAAAAGTTTTTATTCTTTTATTGTGTAATTTTTTTTTTGACCTTCTTACATTTTTAGTTTTCTTATTATTCATTTTCTTAATGTTCTTCGATGGTTAATTTTAAGATTTTACGCTAATAATATTTTCATAGGCATGTGCATACTTTCTTAAAAGTAACTAATGAAGTTGAAAAATTTGTAACTATTGAAGATTAACATAACTTTAGAATTAGTTAAGGTTTTTTAAGTACATAAATTAGAGTTTAATTTTTTAGCTTGAATAATTTGTCTCCTTAAGTTTAATTTAATTTTAAATATGATCATTCAATTTTTTTAATTTGCTTTTTTTTATTTGAGTCCTTTTAGTTATTTTTGTTTAAACCACTTATTTCAATTTGTCTTTATTAATTTGGGGTCAAATTTGAAACTATGGTCAAATCTTCAAGATCACTGCTAAAGGCAAGAATCGGTATGACTTAAGTATTTTCTAATATAATCGTACGACTCGTATTATGATATTTCTGATATATGATAACTTTACGTTGACGTGTCACATATCACTATACGGAGATCAAAACACACACACGTCTAAGAATCTCATAAAAGATGTAATAGACAATATAAAGATGAAATCTTAGACATGTATGCTTTTAACCCTAATTCAACCCTACAATTAGAAGAGATCTCTCTAATTTAGACATTAAAATATTTCTTGCAATAACATTCTCTCTTAAATCTTTGGAAAAACTTTGAACCATCGGTGATTAACTTATTCTCGTCAACTCTGTCATTGAGTATATACCTTACCTACTCTGTTTAAGGACACTAAAAAAACACGATGAAGAAATGCATCCCCATGAACTCTTTGTACCCATTTTACAAGCTTTCTACAACCCCAGCCAAAACCTCTTGTTGTCAAACCTGCAACCTCAAAGATGAGATCATCAGATTTTTACAAGTCCCAAGTGCAGGAATTACGAAAAGCAACCCTTCCCATAAGATCACTCTAATTTCATTCCAATGCATTTTAATAAAACTTGTCTTTTAATTTATTAATTTTTTTAAGATAGCATTTTAAACTATATCTTTTCTTACTTTGCATTTCCTCTGTTATTTTTTGTTAACTCCATGCTTTTAATTCTAACTACCATTAATTGAATACAAAATTAGAAAATATAAAATAAAAATAAAAAATTACAATTTAGTCTTATCTTTTAATAATTAAAGAGAGAAAAAAGTTGACTATAGAAAAAAATAAATTTCTTTTCTTTTTTTTCCTATAATTATACCCATTTTAAGAATATAAGCAGTGTGAAAAAAAAATAGCTTTATTATTATTAATTTTTTTAACTCGTACAAAATTACATAACATAAATACATAACAAATTTAATTAAAAATTATAATATTTATTAATATCACTACATTTAATTAGATTGAATTTTATAAATTTATAAAAAAATTACCGTATATAACTTCTTATTAAATCATAATATAATTATAAATTATCCATCCAAAGCTCATGGTGTCCGTAGAAGAACTGATGTGAGACGTTGCGAATAAAAGGTCATTTTGGTAAATACATATTATAACGGCTCTTTGCCTATTTCCATAAACAAAAGAAGATAGCCGTTGCCGCCTTCACAACATTTCAGGTTCAAGTTTTACTTTCCAAAACCCTAATTTTCATTTTTCATTTCCTCCACAGTCTCTGTTATATATATATCACCCCACTTAACTACTTACACAATTCAAATCTCTCTCTCTCTCTCTCTCCCCGCGATTCATTACAAGCTTTCTAATCTAATAATCATTGTCACTTTTTTCTTTACTAATCAGTCACTTAGGTTCGATTTCATTTTGTCTAATAATCTGTTTTGCAGGATTTGATATTATATTCTGTATTTCTCTTCCAGGGTTTATTTTTGTGCTTTTCTTTTCGATTGCTCTATTTCTTGTATTGTTTTTTTGGTCTCCTCTTAACAATGGATGCAGGGTCTCTGAGTTCTTCCGCAACCATCAAAACAAGATCTCGCTGCCCTCTTCAGGAACAGTTTATTCAAAGAAAGAGTTCCAGAGAAAACGTAAGAAAGAGTTCCAAATTTCTATTTCCTGATCTCATTTTCCAATACCATTCATGATTTACCGCTGCAAACTTTTTCAAGTGGGGTTTCAATTTTGAATGGAGGTTTAAACATCTTTAATTTGACATTTAAGTGAATCCTGGTTCCGATTATGCAAGTGTGGTCCTTAATTTTCGCTTTTGATTTTGTTTGTCATTTGTTTTGTTTTTGGATCACTGACTCACTGTAAACACCACCACCAGTTGGACAGATTCATACCAAATCGGTCGGCAATGGATTTTGATTATGCTCACTACATGCTTACTGAGGGGGCTAAAGGTAAGGAAAATCCAGTTGTGAGTTCCCCCTCTAGAGACGCTTACAGGAAGCTGCTTGCAGAAAGCTTGAACATGAACAGGACCCGAATTCTAGCCTTCAAGAACAAGCCACCTGCGCCAGTTGACTTAATCCCTCATGAGATTACCTCCACTGTTGCACAGGATAAACCCACCAAGCCTAAAAGATTTATTCCTCAGGTGCACTAAGACCTGATGAAGAATTTGTTTAAAATCTTTGTCTGATACCAACACAGTTTTTGGATGCTAATTTATTTGTTGGCTATATCAGACTTCTGAAAGGACTTTGGATGCTCCGGATCTTGTGGATGACTATTATCTCAATCTATTGGATTGGGGAAGCGGCAATGTTCTTGCAATAGCACTTGGAAGCACAGTGTACTTGTGGGATGCAACAAATGGTTCTACTTCAGAACTTGTTACAGTTGATGATGAAAATGGCCCGGTTACATCTGTTAGCTGGGCTCCTGATGGACGGCATATAGCGGTTGGTTTGAACAACTCTGAAGTGCAACTGTGGGATACAACTTCAAATCGACAGGTTTATCTTTATCTTAAAATACGCTAAATAAATTTTGTTCACCGCCATTCATTTCCTTAAAGTTTACTAATGTTATTCTTATTTGCTTTTGCAGTTGAGAACTTTGAAAGGTGGGCACAGGCAGCGAGTTGGGTCTTTGGCATGGAACAATCACATACTTACAACTGGAGGGATGGATGGTAGAATTGTGAACAACGATGTAAGAATTAGGGCACACATCGTTGAAACCTACAGAGGGCATGATCAAGAGGTTTGTGGGCTAAAATGGTCAGCTTCAGGTTCACAATTAGCCAGTGGAGGGAATGATAATCTGTTGTACATCTGGGACAGAGCTACAGCATCTTCTAATTCGGCTACACAGTGGCTTCACAGGCTCGAAGATCACACATCTGCTGTAAAAGCCCTTGCTTGGTGTCCTTTCCAAGGGAATTTGCTAGCTTCTGGTGGAGGCAGTGGTGATCGTTGCATTAAGTTCTGGAATACTCACACTGGTGCATGCTTGAACTCAGTTGATACTGGGTCTCAGGTATGCTCCTTGCTGTGGAACAAGAACGAGAGGGAGTTGCTCAGCTCTCATGGTTTTACCCAGAATCAGCTAACACTTTGGAAATACCCTTCAATGGTCAAGATGGCAGAGCTCAATGGTCATACTTCCAGAGTTCTTTTCATGGCTCAGAGTCCGGATGGTTGCACAGTAGCATCAGCAGCAGCAGATGAAACATTGAGGTTTTGGAATGTGTTTGGAGCTCCAGAAGCAACAAAAGCTGTACCAAAAGCGAGAGCTGAGCCCTTTTCACATGTGAATCGCATTCGATAAGCTGCATTGGTGGTTGCCACCGCGCGCGCATAGCAATTTCACATAAACAGAGATTGATTGCTGTAAATATATCCATCTCTGCAACGGTTTGTTGTTGTATAAATGTATTTAATCACATATCATCAAGGGATCAGTGCTTCGGTAATCCAGTTGAGAGGATGGAAGTACATGGATGTATATTATTGTAACACATACTAGCAGTGGAAATCAACATTTTGTTCGCCCGTGGACGTAGTCACACACACCCGTGACGAACCACGTATATCGTTCGTTCTTCTTGCTTTTTCAGTTGTGTTTTGTGAAATAACATATCATTCTGAACTGATATATTTTTTCAAAGAAAACGAAAAAAATATGAGTAGTGTGAATTTAAAAAGGGGTCAGACCCTGCAAAGTCTTCACAACAGAGCAGTAGGAGCTGCAAAATCAGCTTCGTCTGTGAGTCACTGGTGTTGGAGGATATTTAACGGATATTTAACATTTCCTTCCCCTGCAAAGATGGCATTTTTTTAGCAAGATCATTTTATTGATGTTTCTTTGATAAATAGGTATAAACAAACTACCTTAATCTGTAAGCATTAACTACTCCAGCAGTGTCAAACCAAGCTGAAAAATACCAGAATAAAACAAAGATGTGCCAAATACCAATTCGAATGGAGAGAATTTTAACTTCAAGGCTTTTTGCAACAAAGAAAGCCAGTTGAAACCAAGCTGTGCAGTGAACCAAAAGGATTTTATGTATTGATGTTTCTTTGATAAATAGGTATAAACAAACTACCTTAATCTGTAAGCATTAACTACTCTAGCAGTGTCAAACCAAGCTGAAAAATACCAGAATAAAACAAAGAATTGCCAAATTCCAATTCGAATGGAGAGAATTTTAACTTCAAGGCTTTTTGTCAAGGCTTTTTGCAACAAAGAAGGCCAGTTGAAACCAAGCTGTGCAGTGAACCAAAAGGATTTTATGTATTGATGGACTTTGGGGGATGCGTGCATTAAATTAGTATTTAAATTTAAATTTATAAATTATATATTTCTAACTAATTAAATGATTATATATTAAGAGATTTAACCAAAATTTTGATTTAATATAATTTTTTATTAATGAATGTCTTATGAACTTAACAGTATGTTATTTATTAATTAATTAGTTACTATATTTTTTATGATTTTTTAAATGAAAATTTAATTAGAAACAAATGATATTTTTATAATTAAAAAATAAAAATAAAATATTTTCTAAGAACTCCAAAAGATTTTCTTTTTAATTAGGACTTTTCATTTCATATATTTATGATATTTTTATTTTATTTATTTTTTCTTATCAATATGAAAAGTTCATTACTCTAGAATTTTTAACTAGAGTTGTCAAAATGGACGATATAATCCAATATAGGTAAATGGGTTAAACTTATTTAGCTCAAAGTAAAAACAAGCTTGCATGTTTACTACTTTAAGCCTTATTTTATGTGGAAGCCTTTTGTAAACCGGTTTGATAGTTTAAATAAATTTTTTTTATAATTTTCTTTTAAGAAATAATTTTTTTACTTTAATGTAAGTTTAAAATCTTTTACATTTTGATAAGATCATGTGTAAGAGTTTTTAGACTTACAATCAATGTGAAAAGATCCTGCACCTTTTCTTTTTCTTATTCTTTATAATAGACCATTTTTTTTATTATTTTTGTAACAATAGAACATTACTTCTTCTTTTTTCTTTTACTGTTTTTAGTGTATCTAACATGCTATTTTAGGGTATTACAAAAACAGCCAATACGCTACTCATTTTTTGTCTAAATTTTATATTAGATTTATTTTTTAATTTTTTTAAAAGTTGTAACATGTCACTAATTCTTTTTTTTGTTATTGTTTTTGTGATAACTATTTTTTTTATTTCTATACACACAATAAGTTCACAGTGAAACAAAACTTCAAAGTAAAAATTCCTAAAACTCAACATTTAATTAATATATATATATATATATATATATATATATGCGCGCTGTTAGAACTTATATAGGTCAACCTAATTAAAATTCTACAAAATAACAGGCTTATATGGATTAGGCCAAAATAGTTTAAAATAATTTTAGGCCTTATTTTTTAGAAGTTAAGCACATTCATATAATGAATTTTTTTCAATTCAATCCATCAGGGCCTATCTTGCCAGCTCTATTCCCAACAATGGAATTGGATCATCTTTCAAAATTTTAGTACAATTTTACTTTTCATATTTAAGATCCTGAGCCATGATCAAAGGACCATGCTAATTCTTATAATCTTTAATTAAGATACTCTTTAATTCACTTTTTCTATAATACATCATACTTATTAGTTAAATTTATTAAAAAAAGCAAAAAAAAATAAATCTGCCACTCGATTTATTAACTTTTATTCATACTTTTAATAAATCTTGAATAATAATTAAACGTGTATAACAAAAAATTTTATTCATACTATTACTGCTATTATCTAAAATGGAAACTTAATTGGGTATAACAAAAACTCCTTTTTCTCGCATGGAAACATAATGATATGGGGATCTGGAAAGGATCAAAATCAAGTAATATACTTGAAAACAGTTGAACATAAATTTATTTACAGTGCAAGTTTTCTCTTTATTTTATAAAATATGGATTCGGCTCTCAAGCTCTCTCTTCTGACAGACTGGGTTTGGGCTTTTGAAATTGTTGGCCCAAATCAATTCCACTCCGAATGGGCCACACCCGAAAGAACATTTTTATTTTATTTTGTAATAAACTTGTGTTTTTTTTAAATGTGTGTGTGTTGTACGATAAGAACAAAACAAGAGGCCTTGAATGAAGGCTTGAATTTGAATTTGAATTTGATGGGTTGATCATGTTATGGTTAACGATGGAATTGCGGTCATACGGTGCGGTTCTTTGGTGTCTTAATCTCCACCACCAGTCAAAGATTATCTATATTTTGAAAATTAAAAACAAATAAAAAGAAAAAGAGAAACTCTTGGTGTGTTGGCAACGTGTGTTTGTTTGGTGGTGATTGCATGCTATCCACACGTCTCACCGGAAACATGTCAGGTGTGGTTGCAGGGTCCTCGACTTCATTCTCCGCCTCCTTCACCACCACAAGGAGGAACCACTCCTTCAAAAGCTCTCACCTCACACATTCCAAGACACTCATAACACCTCCTCAGTGCCAGGTACTTGTATTCTTAATTTGCTTATTACTACTCGTTAACAAACACTGTTCTGAAGTGGGTCTTTACTTATCACTCTTGATCTTGTTTGTGTCTGCAGAAAACATCTTTACAAGGTCTCTCACTTCATGAAGCCAAAAGGGGTGTTTCAGATTCCTTCCTAGGTGAGAAGAAGAATGGTTATTCTTCCTCCAATGCTGGAAGGAGACTTGAGATCACAGCAAGAACTGCTGGGGCCGCAAAGACAATAGAGGTTGAGGTTGACAAGCCACTTGGCCTCACCTTAGGCCAAAAGTCTGGTGGTGGTGTTGTCATCACTGTTAGTTATATTCCTCCTTTTCATTCTTCTTCTATAATTCAATGTTTCAAGGTTAAGGCTGATGCTAGTTGTCTTCATTAGGCTGTTGATGGAGGTGGGAATGCAGCAAAAGCAGGGTTAAAGTCAGGTGATCAAGTCCTTTATACTAGTAGTTTCTTTGGGGATGAATTGTGGCCTGCGGATAAGCTTGGATTTACTAAAACAGCAATCCAAGCTAAGCCAGACTCTGTCTACTTTGTTGTCAGCAGGTTCTCCAAATTTCTTTTCTTGCCTTTTGCTATTTAGCCTTCTTCTATTTTCTTAATTGCATCAATTCTTCTGTAGTGGATTTGTTGATGACATGGGTTTTTCATATTATTATTTATTATTGTTATTATTTGGGTATAGCATATAGATTTGGTGAAGTGTCTGAGTATTTCAACTTTATCAGTCACAAGTCCCTCTTGGTTTGGTGATGCTAGTGTTACTGTGCACAATCAATATTAAAACTCGAAAGTATTCATCTTTGTTATTTTTACTTCATGACACATGATTCACAATAAATAATACTTGGTTGGCTACTTGGAGTTAAAACTTATAAGTTGTTTTTTAGACTAGAACCAGCCAGATAAGCATCTTACTCTAAATTGAAATCCAAGCTCTGCGTCGTTTTAAATATGACTGTGTTAAGATGCCTTGAATCTATGAGACCTTTGTATAACTGTTATTTTCCTTAACAAGTTGTAATGATGAGTTATGGGTCATTAAGTGCATGAACTTTAAAAACTGATTAGACAATATTTTCTGCTATATCTTGTACCTTGTATTCACAAATCACAGTAGATAAAATCTCTCAATCTGCCCGAAACGGTCATAGAGTGATAGTATTGTCGTATTAATTAAATCATTGTTGTGGGGGTAAGACAGCTTAATTTGAAAAAGGGTTATCTTTGCATGCAGAAAAGTAAATTGATAATTTTTTTAAACAAATAGGGGAAATAAGATTAAGGAAAAAACTTAAATCAATGCTATATGAGTTCAGTATGCAATTCAATGAATTATTCCCTATGATAATTATGGCAGCACTTAATCTGTTCATCAATTTGTTTCAAGTACATAAACGCATCCTGCAAAGTCTCTAATTTTCATGTCATTTATTCTATTATTTACCTAACAGTTGCAATGACTTAACACCTTAAATATCGTCTTCATCTTGTTGTTATTAAGAGGTGCTGAGGTAGATGTGAAAAAGCTCACCAAGCGTCCTGCTCCCCCTCGCTTTGGAAGAAAACTGACTGAGACTCAAAAGGCAAGAATCATTTTGAAGTGACACACATTCCTGCATTCTTTTTCTTCCATCTATTTGTTCATCTTTCAGGCTATATATTACAAATGTTGATTTTACATTCAATAATTAATTAAGTGCACTGCCATGCAGGCTAGAGCTACTCACATTTGCCTTGATTGTGGATACATATACACCTTACAGAAACCTTTTGAAGATCAGGTAAAATTCACACTTATATTTCTACCCTTTTCCTCCCTCTGCCCCTTCCATTTCATCCATGTGCCCACGGATTTTAATAAAGATTGAATGCCTTTTATTTTAATTTACTATGATATTGGTATCAGCAGTTTTCCCATAAATCAGATTATTTTCACCGTTTATTCATTGTTGCTATTGTACTATTGCATCTGCTATTCTGTGTTAATTACTAATTTTCATGCTTGACAACTTGCCATTGTGATGAGTGATTTGATGATAGCCATAAGATCCGGGTTTCAAAACTTTAACCAAAAAACTATATAAAGATCTATGTTTCAAGTTCATATCATGCACCAAACTTTTTAATTTTATTCTTGAGATGGTATTCATTGAAGTTGGATTTATCAACCAATATGATGATTGCTTTTGTCATTCTCATTTTATTTATGTCTTGCAGCCGGACACATACGGTTGTCCTCAATGTCAAGCACCTAAGAAGAGGTTTGCTCGGTATGATGTTAACACTGGAAAGGCTATTGGTGGGGGGTTGCCTCCTATTGGAGTTATTATTGGACTTGTGGCTGGTGTTGGCGCAGTTGGAGCTTTACTTGTTTATGGTCTTCAGTGACATTTTATTCCATGACATGCTGCTAGTTCTATTGATTTTTATGTCCTCCAAAGCTATTCAATATTGGAGTTTGTATCTCAGAAACTCCTTTGATGTTCATGTGAAGATTGAAGCTTTCTGAATGAGATTCAAAATGAAATTCAAACTACTTTTTTTTGGGTGGTGGGGGGAGCATTAGCAAGTTGAACTATTAGTGATGGCACGCCTTGTCATCACTTGTGGTAATATGTAAAAAATGTTATTGGCTCAAAATCAATCAAATGAATGATTGTTACTGAATTGCAGTTGACTTCCCTATTCACTGACCAAATATAAAGGAAATAAGGAATGAATGATGGAATTTAATGTCTAAGCCTGAATTTGACTAAGTTCTAATTTTTGTAAAAAGAACATTACTGAATGCCATGTAGTCTGTTAACAAGGAAGCAAATGCAAGTTTGAAAATTTTTGAAACACTACGAAGCAACCTAAAATAGTGTCTCTTTGTTTCCGTTAAATCTTAATTTGATGTAATGCATGGGTAAGCCGATTATTCATTTATGGGTAGTTAATACAATAATAAAAATATTAAATGTCCATATTTACTGGCTTTTATGTTAATTTTGTAAATAAAATTGATTTATTTTAAAATATAAAATAACACGTATTTCTAAATATTATGTGTACTTACATATCCAAATATATTTTTTATTTAAAAAACAATTGTACATAATTAATTTTTAACATAATAATTTACAAAAGATAATATTAAAATTATGAGAACAGAAAAGTACCCAATTTTAAAAAAAAAAGGAAATCAAAATTTTAAAAGAAGTCTAGTTTGAGGTTGAAATAATTAATTTTATTACTGTTTGTATTAATTATTATTATTATTATTATTATTACTATTATTTTGGGCCCACCTGTGTGATGGGAATTTTGTTGGGCCCAACTAAGAATCTGTGTGATATGCCAAGTGGTCGCCATAGCCTGCATTCGTCAAAAGTCAAACTTTCTCTGTCCGTTCTACCGAGATTTGTGTTGAAGCATTTCCCATTCCCTCGCGAGATAGTTAAAGAGATTTTATATTTTAGATTAAAAATAAATTTATTATATTTTAAGACTAAAAGTAATAAAATAAGTCCTTCTTCCTTTTTCTGTGTCTGGGGGTGTTGAATGCTTCACGTTCTTCATTGTCAACTACTAATAATATATTTATTTAAAAGGAGGGAATGCATTCATTTTTTTTATCATTTAAAAGAGGGAAATTGGTGAATGAAAGATAAAACTAACAAGCACCTCAATTATTTTTCTAAAGAGTTTCTAAATAACTTATAATAAAGAATTTAAATTATTTTAATAATTTTTTTAGCATAACCTTGTTTAAATAAGTTATTTTAAAGCTTTTTAATAAATTTTATTATTAAATTTATGATATAAATTTTTTTAAAAAAATTTAATTAAATAAGTGTTTAAAACGAATAACTATTCAAACATCATCTTAAAAACTCTGCAAAATTGTGAAAAACTATTATTTCATTTGGCATCTATTATAATAACGTGTATATATATTCATTGAAACAGCTCAAATATCTTAGGTAAGTTTCGTTTTCAATATTGTAAGAAGTAAAAAATTATTTCAGAAAATATATTTCTTTTTAAAATATGAAGACAAACAGGTCTTTTTACCATTTTAAATCACTACAATATTTGTTAAAAAATAACATAAAAATATTTTTTTAAGTAGAGAAAAAAAGAAATAAATAAAAGAAAAGAAAAAATTACAATATAAAATATGAGACTCTCCAAGCATCAACTTGAAAAAATAATCTCTAGTTTGTAGGAAGTGAAACTCAATATTTGAAATTACAATATAAAAAAATTGCAAACTTAAATAAAAAACCTGCATGTAATACATTCAACATGAGATATTTGATATTTAGATTTGAAGTCATTTTTAACTCCTCAAACATTGTTATGAATTCAACATGAGCATTGTCAAAAATTTCAATAAACCCAAAATCTACTCTAAGCCAATTTTTATTTTTATTTATAATAAGAGCATCTAAACTAGTTCTTCTCGGGCTCCTCCAAGTACTTCCATCAACATTAAAGATGAATTTAAAATTATGATCAGCTTTTCAACAAATCTAGCACTCCAAGGAAGGTTTGAGACTACTAAACTTGTTCACATAAATGAAGTTGGTTAGTAAAGTTCATAACATAAAATATAATTTTATAAATTGAGAATTTTTTTTTTAGCTATCAAACAGTCTCTAACATAGTAGAAAGTGTCTTTAGTATAAGTGTGACATCTTGAGCAAATGAGTGAAGACGCCCAAGTTCCTATAATGCCTTTAGTAATTTGTGAGAATATCATATAGAAGAGTGAGATCATGAATCTAATTCCTTTTCTTTCTAATCATAATTTAGGCATAAAAAAAAAGATATTACATTACTTAAGTTTAATCCAATTCTCTTTTGTCTTTTGGTGCCATAGAAGTTTATATTTGATTTCAATATTTTTCTTATTATGAATAATATTATCAAAGGCGCTTTATTGAAAATGATAAAATTCACTCTAATTATTTTAAGTGATAGAAAGAAACTTTCTTTATCTTTTTTATAGATCTAGAAACAAATATTTTAACTTTTGATAAATAAATTATATAACATAACTATAACAAAATATTTAAAATTAAATAATTAAAGTCTAACAATATGTTTATATAAAAAGAAATATCATATTGAAAAAAATTATAAAACTTAAATATATATTTAGAATAAAAATATTTTTCTATAATTTTTTTAAACTTATTTTAATACAATTTTTAGTATAAATTATTAAAATATATTATAATAATTCATGTTATAAATTCTTAAATAAAAATTATTAAATAAATACTTAAATTTAATTATTTATCCCAACAAACTCTTAAATCTGTTAAAAACAAACACGTGTAGATATTTTCACTACCAATTGTTTTAGCACATGCATAATAAAATACACCGGCTATATAGAATTTTTAAATTGAAATGAATGCATAGTGATGATTACGCCTGACATTTCCTTAAAATTCAAAAACTTGGGAGCGGAACAGTGCAATTATTGATTTTTGGCGTGATTTGGTGGTTGCATCTTGTGAATCTGATCTCCATAATATGATGATGAGATGAGGCACGCAGATACTAAAATGTAGGAAAGTAAATGGGTTCCTTAATTGGTTCTAAGTACCCAATTCCAACACCAAAACTGATCTTGCTGCTGCAGTTTCAAAGTTTCACAATTGCACCAGGAACAGCAAAATACACACTCAGAGCCCTTCCTCACAGCTTCTCAGTCTGGTAATGGATCGCTTTTGCAGTTCCCTCTCTGCAATTTCTGTTAAGTTACACACTATTTGGCTGTTTTTGAACACCCTTTTTCTAAATGGCTTTGATTTGCTGTTTCTTGCCTGTTCGAAGAAATGCCCAAATGTAAAAACCCCATCTTGCATTTCACTGTCTATGTATGCTTTATTGTGAGTTGTGATGTGACCCTTGGTTCTTCTATCTGGGGTTTCCGATTTGGGTATTAATACATGTTCCTCTGTGCTCCTTTACATATAATGATTTCGTTCAGATAGATTTTCTATCTTGCTGCATCTTCATTCTGCTTTAAGATTTCTGATTAGAAATAGACTGATGGTATTTCATAGTCATTAAGTTGGAAAGTATTTATGGATAGTATAAAATAAACAGCTATATTAATACCTTGACCATGAAAAATTAAGGATATTAATATAACCCAAAATAGAATGTCCCATTGTGCCCTTGAACTTTTTCCCTTCCCTTTTGAATGAGAAACAATGCTTAAGGTTGGTTAACTAGGTCATGGACCATTGTTGAATAGCTTTTGGATGTTCAATTTCAAACTGAAGTTTTTCTAAATTTAGAAATTAATAGCAACTAAATAACTAGGTGCTGATGTTGTTTTGTTCTTTCTTCTTCAGGATTTGTTTAAAGCCTTCTTTAATAGTTGCTTTCCATTTTTTGTTTATTTTAAAGTTGTGTGATGTTCTAGAATAATTTTTCTTATGGACGTGCTTTTAACAGTGGTCTTTAGGTTTCATCTAATTACATCTGGTCACTTTCTTAATGGCCTAGAGTAGTTATTTGAGTAGTTATTCGAGAAAAAACAAAGCTTCTCTACCTGCCCATATGCAAACTTTAATGAAGGGACCTTACTGTTTTGGTAGTTAATCTGGATGCAGTTTATGGCAAGTTCAACTTATAAGTGTCATATTAGATAAATTTGCCACATTGATTGTTTGACAACTGCCACTCATCCTGTGTTGAAATAAAAAGGTGGTTTACAAGGCTCAGAGAACTGCAATTTGATAATCAATATGAACTTGAGTTTATTCCATGATCTGTTCTGATTTCATAAGTTTATCACCTATCAAATTATCAAGATTTGTCTGCCTTTCATTTAACCTAGTATACATTTTTGCTCTTTTGTGTGGAGTTGTCTATATATTAATTGTAACTTTTTCCTGTTTATTTTCTCATTTTGTAGGATGTAGCAAGTTTGGTTCCGTGTATATTGCTATTTCTGCTGAACTGAAACTCCTCTATATAGTTTTATTTTCTGACCTTTTCACTGTGTCTCTCCTGGTGGTGAGAGGCAGACATGCACATTGGAGTGATGGTGATGATGACTCAAACATTGAAAACGATTATGTCATCCTACCATGACTATGACAAGAATTCCTGTGTCTGTCCTTTGCCTATTGGTCGACCTCGAAGCCGTCAAGGGCGCCAAAGCCGCCTAGGTACTTTGGCTGTTGCCATAGCAGCACTTCTCATATCTACCACTGCTTGGCTTTCCCTTGTCTTCTCTGATGCAACGACCTGTTGCTTTCATCACTTAAAAGATTGGGAAGGTGGTCCCTACTTTTTTGATTGGAAGAAGTGCATTCCTCACCACCTTGCGAAAGTAACACCCCCATCGGCTCTTCAATTAAGGACTGTGGAAGATCATCTTCATAATGGTAGCAGTAATATTGAACAGGAAGGCTTGTCTGTTAAACATATTGTTTTTGGCATAGCAGGATCATCTCAGCTTTGGAAACGGAGGAAGGAATATGTCAGACTATGGTGGCGTCCCAATGACATGCGTGGCCATGTGTGGTTAGAGGAGCAAGTGCTTGAAGAAAGTGGAGATGATTTATTGCCCCCTATCATGATTTCTGAAGACATCTCATATTTTCGCTACACTAATCCCATTGGTCACCCTTCTGGCCTCCGGATATCTCGCATTGTCAGAGAGAGCTTTCGCCTTGGCCTTTCTGATGTTCGCTGGTTTGTCCTCTGTGATGATGATACCATCTTCAATGTGAATAACCTAGTTGATGTCCTCAGCAAGTATAATTCTTCTGAAATGATTTACATAGGTAGCCCCTCAGAGAGTCATTCAGCTAATACCTATTTTAGTCACTCAATGGCCTTCGGTGGTGGTGGGATTGCAGTAAGTCATCCACTTGCAAAGGCTCTCTCTGAGACTCTTGACGAATGCATTGAGAGGTATCCCAAGCTTTATGGTAGTGATGATCGACTGCATGCCTGCATCACTGAACTTGGGATTCCACTGACCTGGGAGCATGGTTTTCACCAGGTATTTTGCTGATCCACGTCCACCTTCCTTCCCTCATTTTATTTTGATCACATCTTTTATTCTTTTCATTTTTTATTTTCTTTTTATTTTAAGACAAAGGAAAGTTCTGGTTAGATGTATTTTATGATTATCATCCAGCCACTTTTATTCAGAATTTGTAAATGATCAGGGTTATTTTTTCATTTGATCATTCAGTGGGACATAAGAGGTGATGCTCATGGTCTTCTATCCTCTCACCCAATAGCACCATTTGTGTCAATTCACCATATTGAAGCTGTTAATCCCTTTTATCCTGGCTTGAGCTCTTTGGAAAGCCTGAAACTTTTTACAAAGGCCATGAGAGCTGATCCCAAAAGCTTTTTGCAGCGTTCAATATGTTATGACCGTGCACGGCATCTAACATTTTCAGTTTCACTTGGCTACGTTGTTCAAGTCCTGCCTAACATTGTTTTTCCCCGTGAACTGGAGCGCTCTGAAAGAACCTACTCTGCTTGGAATGGTATTAATCAAAGGAATGAATTTGATTTTGATGCTCGGGACCCATACAAATCTGTTTGTAAAAGGCCCATTCTATTCTTCTTGAAAGATACTAGAAGAGAGGGTAATGCTTCTTGGGGTTCATATGTTCGAAGTAGAGATAAAGATGATCTCAAAAAGAGAATTTTCTGCTTTCCTCACTTCCCCCCCCTGCGCAATGTACAAGAGATCCAGGTAGCAGTGCAACCTTTGAGCAAGAATTGGCATCTGGTATGTTTCATGTACATCAGCATTTCATATGATGATATTACCAGTTTTCAATCTTAATGACATTTCTAGATTCCACTGTTTGGTTGTCGTAGGTTCCACGTCGTCTCTGTTGCAGGCAAAACCAATCTGGCAAAGAAATCCTACAAATCTCAGTTGGAGAGTGTGGGAAGGGAGCTTTTAGCTCTGTTTACTGATATGTTGGTAGGTTTGCATGTTAGGATTACCCTGTTATGGTCTGTACATGATTTGGCCTTTGAGTGAAGAGCTAGTTCCATGCGGCATTTTTTTACCTTGACTTTAGCTTTCTTGAACTTCTATTTCTATGTTGTATACACGTAGACACTTGAACTTGCAGATGGTAGCGAAAAGGTTCCCAACACCAAAAGCAACTGCATGCAATTTTTTTCCCTATGTGATATCTCCCTATTTCCCCCTTCATAACATAGAAGTTTCTTTTCACAAAGAAGATGAAAAATATTTACGTACCAACCTAAGCATATGCCAGGAACATGTGGTTCTAATAGGCCCTATATGAAGTTCCAAGCCATTCCTATTCACTCTAAGGGTAATTGTGACAGTTTTGTTTGATCATTCCTGTGCATCATGGATGAAAGCCAGACATGCAAAGCCCTCCCTCGACCATTCTCTAACAGGGAAGGTTTAATGGTTATAATTGAAGGTTGTATTTTTTTTTTTCTTTAAAAAAGTTCAATTTTAAATCAAGACAAGCTCGTTATAACAGTAGATTCCAGATCCAATAAGAGTACATTTTATTTTTTTTTCTGAACAATAATCCATTTAATATGCTGTCTGAAAATGTTATTTTATAATAAGCTTTACTGATTGGTGCAATCAGTTGGCTTAAAAGAAACCGTCTTTCTATCTAAATCAAATCCAATCAAAATGTTTGATTGAGCAAAGTTGCCAAATATATAGTCTCCATCATTAGTGCCGGCCATTGCAAAGCAAAACACCCCATCTTTTGGTGCGATGAAGGTTTGTATTGGCAACAATTGCACATCTGCCCCCTCAAAATGAGCAGTCAAGACTGGCCCATCCAAATTTGCCTTACTTCTGTAACAAACTTGAGTGCCCAAGTCTGGGTCATCATCAATAGGTAACAGGCTACTCTGGAGCTTCAATTCCTCCACCAAACGGTCATAAAATTCTTGTGGTAAATATGTTGCTGGTGTACCTGAATCAATCATTATATTCCCTTTGGAAAGCATTTCTGAAGAGTTAAAAGGCACAAATGTGTCTCCAACACTTATGCCTTCCAGTGTGACAAAATAAGGGGTTTGACCCTCGTCATAGACCAAAGGAGTTGTGACTACTCCTTCACCTGAAACATCACTGACATCACCAAAACTAATCGTACCTGAAGCATGAGGATCTGTATGAAAAGGAACCAAACACTGAGAGAACCTTTTGCTGCCATAAAGGTTACCAATTTGTGAAACAAGTGACAGGGCCCCCCCACCCAGTCCAATGATTCCCATATCGTTTTCATTGAAAGTTCCTGAATTGCTGTGTCCACACCCAAATATAATGTCCCCAACAACAACAGGTTCTTCATTGTTGGAACTAAAGGTGACTGTTTCCGTTGCAAGCATCCCTTTTGTTACTGAAGAATCAGCATAACCATAACTATAGGCACACAGATTTTGAGGGGAGCAAAAGTGACCAAAGAGTAAGTTACACTGCTCTGAATCACATGGAATAGGACTGTATGTTTTAGACCTTAGAGGCTCAAACATTGGACTTTTCTGCTTATAACAGCCGTAGCAAGGTGTGCACTGAGTCCACACCAGGTCACTGCCTGTGTCAATCAAACCATACACGTCCACTGGTGGTGTTCCCAACGTGAGTTTCATGAGATAGTCGCCATTGTTTGATGTCACTCTTGTGAAGGGACCATTTGGGCCATATGATTTCTTGGGAACTTGGTAAAATGAGCCAAGTCTATGTTTTTGAATGTAGAAGGGAGAATTGAGTGAGCTGTGGCGGATTAGTTTAACACTGAACCCGGCCTTTGAAGCTTCATTTGGTGTTTGATGTAAGAACATGCACAGAACAAAAAAGCACAAATGGAAGAAGAGAATGTTGGCCATGAAGTTTAGTAGCAAGGGACAAAGTCATGTGAAAAGTAGCCAAATTTATGTCATATTTATAGGCAGCATGTGAGTGGGGAAGTTGGTACAGGTTAGTCACAAGAAGTAAACAATAGCAGCATGTGAGTGATTTCTGTTAACAAGAGATCTAGAGAATATTATTGCCAATTTCCACTCCACTTATATATTGCCATCATATATTTATTTTTTATTTTTTCCTTTTTCTAAGGTAAGCAAAAGGGTTCAAGACCCAACACTGCCCAGAGAAGCTGGAGAAAGCAACAACAGGGACATCCTCGAATACCACCTGAGGCCCGGCCAAAAGGAAGTGACTCCTTAGAATGTCTCTAGTTGTTTAACATAAGCTGACTTGGCTAGCCAATCAGCCATGTTGATACCTTCTTTGATTCTGCAAATTTGCATTCAAAGATGGACAATTCTACCTTACCCTTTGAATTTGGATGGGTATCAAAACCTTCTTTACATTTACCAATGTATTTTAAACATGTATAATGATAGCAATCTCTTAATTATTGACTAGGAAATTGATAAGATCCTGATTTTCCTCTATCTCAAATTTACTAAATTGTTTCCTTTGATTTATGTGATCCCTTTGATTTAGGCTCTTAGATTATTTCATTTTAATCCCATAATGTCTTTGATTAGGATCTTGAACTATTTCCTTTAACTATGTAATTTCTTTGATTTAGGTTCTTGAATTATTTCCTTGAATTAGGACTTGTACATTTATATAAATTGTGAATGTCACAAGACTTCGACAAGAATCAAGAATATTATTATCCTAAAGCTTAATTAGAGGACAGAATACCCTGGAAACAGAAAATGCTAATTATTTTTAAGATCAAGGTCCTTTTTATTCTCAATAGCTGATTGATCCATTAAGTTACTTTTATTTTCTCTTGGTTTGCAGCTGATTCACGTCGCTTCTTCCAAGTATTGAGAGAATAAATACAAGTGCAGTAACACATTTTCAATCATAAATTTGAAAGTGAAAAACTGAAATAATTACATAAGACACAGCACTAACTTATAATAGTGAATCTTATTTTGAAATAGAGGGCAAGTATCTAAAAATGCAAAGTAAAAAACAGAAATAAAAGCTGTAATCGATTGTAACGGATGAATCGAAGTTCATTCTTCAAGAAATTTATTGTACCTGAGGGATTTTAAAAGAATTTAAAAAGTGGCACTAAAAGAACTTTTGCACTATATTATAAGATTCCCATACCGTTTATACCTCGATTCTTTATTTAGTTGCGCATAAAATTTCTCATGACAAAATGGAAGTAGGAAATATGATTTTTATGTTTCATTAAGATTTGAAAAATTGGAGTGTTGGAAGCCAATGAGTTCAGCTCAGCAAATGCATGAGATTTGATGATGTTTTGACGTTTTACAACACAACAAAGCATAAACATAAACATGATATGATACATTACGATTCACGGGTCACCGATGTCCGTGAGCGACCTATTTTGGGGTAAGAGTATACAGTAAAGTAGGCAAGATATTGATATATTAAAGAAAAAAAGCTTAAATATAAATAGAATTTATTTTAAATTATTATTTATTATTATTATTTTCATTTTAATACTTAACTATTTTTTTAAATTTTTTACCTGACATTAATATTTATCAGTTAAGTAGTCATATAACTTACAGTTTATTATGTTATTGTCAATTTCTTTCTTTCATGTCACTATGTTAGTTAAGTAGTGACATAGCTTATACTTTATTACATCATTTCTAATTTCTTTCTTTCATATCACTCTTAAATTTTTATGTCATAAATCTATATCAGTATTTTATTTTTAAAAAAAATTAAAAAATTAAAATTTAAACGTGTAATGTTTTAATTTTTTTAATTTAAATCACATATATTATATAATATATAAAATTATTCATATTCAAACCAAACATAACTAGTATTATAACTAATAATATTTCTCTTTAAATATTTAACATCGTTAAAAAAATATTATTTAAGTCAAATAAAAGTAATGAATGTTGAATTTGATAATATATGTTAAACTAAAATAATTTTATATTAATTTATTTCTATGCTTAACAGTATTAAAGTTGAATTTAAATTTCTATAAATTAAAAAATTTATAAAAAATATTATTATATTAAAATTACAAAGTATAATAATCATTTTATAATATTTTAATATTATTAATTTTTTATCCTTTTTACTTAACAAAATTCTCTTTAAAATATAATACTGTGCAGCTAAAGCTACGTGACATTGAATTTGAACGTAATCTAATGAAATAAAAAGTTGAATCTTTCCTTAGCGGCCTTTGTTAGGCAAGAACTCCGCAGTTGGCGGATACAGTTGAACTGTCCAAGACGGTTATTCACATGCATGTGAAGTTCGGTTTTCACTGCAAATTTGCCTATGGATTTTATAGGTCCGGTTTTAGGGTTTCAAAATAAGTAAAATTTACGCTACCTCTATAATTGAGAGTATTTAGAAATTCCTCTTTTATAGTTTGATATAACTTTTTCTTCGAGTGAAATCACTATTATTTATATAATTTGTACTAATTATTAAACTAGAACTATAATTCTTATTTTTTATAGTATTTTTGCCTTCACTACAAATGTAACTATAAAAATAATTGTCATTACATTTGTTATTATAACTTAAAATGGAACTATTTAATACAAATTTGAGGATGAAAATAACTATTAATGTTATTATTGTAACTAAATTTAGTATCATAAATATAATGATCATCATCATTCTTAAAGATATTTTTCATATAGCTAGAATTGTTATAAACTAAAAAAAAATAAAAAAAATTCAAATTCACTTAAAAAAAAATTATCATTGTCAATTTTTAAAATTTTCTTTTCAATATCAAAATATATAGAATAACTGTTCTTGTTGCTATTCTTAACTAAAAAAATTTTATTCGATAGAAAATTCTTAATATTCTTAATACTTACTAAATTTTGAAAAGAAACTTTAACTAAAATTAAAAAAAATTGTATCTAAAATTGTTACTATTATTTTAACTATAGATAATAGAGTTAATAATTTAGTTAAAAAAGATGTTAATAATATTTTATCTTTAAGATATTAAAATAATATATAATTATTAATAAGAAAAGAGTATACAATACTTTCCTCAAGTTCCCGAGTATCACACTAAGCAACAACAAAATATTTAAATCAATTAAAATACATTAGTTTAGTTCTATACATTATTTTTATTAAATCAAACTAAATTAATTTAATCCAAAATAAATTAGTTTAATTCAATTTATTGAGTTTGATTTAGCTTTTCTTTTTTTTAAAAAAATGAATGAGGAAATTTGGATTTATTGATCATTTTTATTCATTCCGAAACATAAAAAAATTATTGAAAAAAGAGTCTCAAAATGTCAATTGTACAAAAAATAAAAAAGTCTAATTTAATCAATTATTATTTTAGTCAAAAAAAATATTCTATTGTGTATATAAATAAAATAAGAATTTTGAGTTAAAATTTTGATTTGGTTGGTTTAATTTTAATCCAAACTTATAAACTAAAGTGGATTAATTTAGTTGATTTGATTTAGTAAATTTATTCAATTTAAATTATGATTCATTATTTTGATCTTAATTATTGGTATCCTCTACAAAAGTCAAATTATTTGAAGTATTTTTTTTTGAATTATAAAGCAAGCATGTACTTAATCATGGTTTATAATAAATTTAAAATATGAAAAATATTGGAACCAAAAATGCAAAGAGCCTAAAATAATAAGAAATAGAAAGGAATCTGGACATTAAATTGAACATAAAATGAATTATTATATACTCATTTCTTTCCTTTACAAGTGTGTTTAATATTATAATACATGTATTAAAAATATAATTAATACTTTTATTTCCTAATATATTTTTTTAATCCTTTCTATTTCTTACTTACATTTTAAAATGTTAATCATATGCTGACAACTTAAAATAAAAAAATACAATTAATATATTTATCAGCATTAAATTTTTTAAAATGTAATTAATTTTATTTCTTCTTTATATCATTTTTGTAAAATTATTTGTTATTAATTAAAGCTATATTGTAATGTATATTTCTCTCTCCAATAAATTGTGTTTTTCATGTTTCTTCTTTGTCACTTTCATTCTCTGCCTATGTCATTATTTTTATCACATTTATACGGCTTTCCAATCCTTACTTATAGGGACATATAAATGAAACATAACCCTCCTGAAAAAAAAATTACAGGAAAATACATTAACAAATGGGAAAAGAAATGCTCAAAATATATCAGAGTTTGATAAAATGTATGAAAAAATAAAAATAAATTTTAATATTCTTAAATTAATTATTCTTCTTTTTTCTGTGTTTGACACTATTTTAAAATTTTTTACATCAATTAAAAATAATTTTTTACATTGATTAGATAATCAATATAAATGCATATGATATAGTAGGAAAAGATACTTTAGATTAGATAAATAATTGATTAAAAAATATTTTTTTATATTGATTATAAAAAAATCGATATTAAAAACTACATGTTAAGATTAGTTACATGCTAAACTAATGTAGAAATTATATGATTTTTACATTGATTGTACTATAATTAATTTAAATTTTTAATATTTTTATCATATATTATGAAGTTATTAATAGTAAAAAAATCGCGACATGCAACTTCAAATATTTATTGTGATAAGCATAAAAGACATCAACATCTTCTCATAAAGTTCTCAAATCTTTAATCAAAGGCTTTAGATAAACATTAATGTCATTTCATAGTTATTTCGAGTCCAAAATCATCATCAGTACCAATATGATATATTTGCATTTCATGCATGATCGAGGAGACAAATTGTAAAGTACCAATAAAAAATGTCATGAACTATATATACTACTAAAGTTACTAAAACGATTCATTCCATCTATAACAAGTCAAAGTCTAAAATTTCTAGGCTCATTACTAAACTTTGAAAATAACTTATCAATTTTCTTTCATTAGAAAGAATCAGTTGGATAATGAAACTTTCCATCACATTGCCTTTCATCTACATGTCATCTAATGTTCTCTATATCATTTGCACTAGCAAACAATTGCTTATACTTTGTAATTACCGAAAGGTGCCATAAAACTTTGACAAGGGGGCTTGTATGCTCATATCACAACTAAAATTGTCATCCTTTGCTTTTTAAGTATGAAAGTCCATAAACGAAGCACTTGTACAACCATTCATACTCTTTTATATACAAAATACAATTGATAAGTCTATATTTTAGCATGTATTTATAACTTATATCTTCATACTTAATCATTATTTTATTAAAATTTTATACTCATTTTTATATTAATTGTACAGTTTGACGTGAGGTCACAAATATATTTTGGTACTTCTAGACTCAAATTGGATAGAAAATCAGCCTCGTTGAGCAGTCAGCACAACCTTGCTTATGAGAAAACATAGGGGTGCTTCATGGACCATGCATAAGTGTGCATAATGGGTAGCATGGTTGTGCTCACCTTTAGAAGATCAAAACTTGGAGGATTTTTCAAGAAACTTGTGAAGAGAGAATTTAAAATTCAAGTCTTGCAAACCACATCTTTCTCTCTTAATACATCATATTGTTATTAGAGATAAAGTATATCTCTAGAGGCAACAACTATCATCTCTCTTGTTTTAAACCATATTTAAACAACATTAAGGGCTACGATTTAGGACATTTTGTTTTGGCTAGCTATGGATGACAATTGGAGTTTTAAGAGTGTGTCTTGGGATCAAGAGCTTTCTTCATCTCATTTCCATTAAGGACTCCTCTAGTTTTCATTTACTTTTCAAATAACTATGGATTGATTTATTATTGTTTTAATTGTGTTATATTATGTCTAGCTAAATTCATAGTTAGGGCTATGATGAATCATTTGTATGACTCTATGAGATCTTTATGATTAATGTTAATTTCATGTTTCCTTTCTTGATTTGTGTTTATCCTATTGCACTATATTTGTATGTTCAAAATTGACAACTCTTAAACATAATAATTAATTAGATCGTAGACATTCGTACCACATAAAGTTAATGGATCTATAGGATAAAACGAGACAAAATAATTAAATAAACCAAACTTATTTTTCTCTTTCAATCTTTATTAAATTAACAGCTCATAAGCTCTTTATGTTTTCTCTTTCTTTTACCTTGCATGACCAATTAGGGTAATAGCTTAGGAAAGAGACTGTTAACATTGCATGGCTATTAGGTGTTAATAAATTTGGTATGAGTGGTTGACAATCATAAAAAGACCAAAATTAAAATTTATTGTCAGAAGTTGCATTGTTTTTTAATTATTTTTATATTTGAGTCCTTATTTTATTTAATTTCATATGTTTTAAATTCAAACAATTGAATTAAGAAAATTTTAGTATTTAAAAATAATTCTTGTAGAACGATATTTTGAGAGCTTATTTTAGGACTACTTTGTTACTTTTTGATGGGTACATTTGCCTACAAATAATAATTATTAGGATAAATGTGTATCTTCTTTTACTTCATACTCATTGAATACAATATCTTTTATGCTTCATACTTTATGATATGAAAGTGTGTTACCTTCTGAAAGCAAGTCTTTCAATAATTAAAGCAATTAAGTAAAAATTTTATCATCTCACTAATCTTTTTCCTTCAAGTTAACTAATTTTAATACTACTGAGACACATGTAAAATTAATACACCTTAGATACAAAGACTTGTTCACAACTTTGCACAAATTATAAAAAAAATATGTCCTCTCTCAAAAGGCATTGGACATCTCTACTAAAAGGTTGTTTTTTTTTAGATGTTGATGTTCACTTTTTTAAAAAATCAAGTAAATGTTGCTTATGTCCCTTTAACAAACTAAGTAGTTAAGTATTTAATTAAAGTAGTCACTTATTCATGGTTTAGTCAACTAAAAGTATTTCATAATATATAAGTTAATAAAGACAACAAATGCAACACTTATATTATCAAAATATTTGAGTTTAATATAAAACATATTTGTTCTACAATATAAATATGGTGATTGAGAGTTAAGTGAAGTCTTTTCCTATTTGAAAACAACCATATATGTAGCAATGAAAGATTAGCAAGCCTATAATGTATGAAATGTTGTTTGTTAACAATATACCAAAGAAACTTTTGTTAGAATTTTCTACAAAATTCATTATAGGCTACAATCAATTGTGATTATTTTTATTTTGTTAAAAACAGGCTAATATTGTGATACATTTGATGATGCTTAAGCCTATTAATAATATGATCAATTATTCATAGGCTTTGGATACTTAATACTGATTTATTTGGGATATAATGTGAGCCTAACCTCTAGGTCCATGATGGGAAGTGCATAGGGTTAATAAATATGGTGGCTAAGTCGCCTTTGTTGTCACGGAAACACATTCTACTACTCTCTTAGTTTGCTCCATCGAGAACCTAGGGTTAGGAGAGTATGATTAGGCAAAGGAAGATCTTGACTTTTCACTCACGAAAGGGTTCGCACTTTATGTAGGTCGTTTACGGTACAATTCACAATGTCTACAACAAGTAAGTAACTTTACCTCCGCTTCACAATTGGTATTCTAAATTCATATAATTAGATTTAACTCAATTATTCCTACAACTTTAGTATCCAAAAAAAGCTGAAACAACAAGCAAACATAAAATTGTAATACTGTTGTAACCATGCATCAACATATTTACACTTCCTTTCCTTTTCTTTTTTCAAAAATTTAAACAAATGCTCCTAATAATGTTTTATTTAGAGGAAATGTTGCTAGCAAGAATCAATATGTAAAACCTTATGGAATTTAACAAACAACAAATAAGAAATGTGTGGAATTTAACAAACACCAAACAAAAATGCAAACAAGAAATTTTACTTAATTAAAAAGGTATTTAGAAGCAATTTACAATGAACCAAATGAATAAGTATGAGAAAATATAAGAAGGAAAAAGGAAAATTTACATATCAAGATGAAACCTAGGTCCAAATGCAAGGTCAGACAATGTTGTTGCAATGACATAGGAGAGTAATCCATTACGACACAATGAACCACAACGAAGAACTCAACAAAATACCATAAAGAAAATAGAAAATTATATGTACCATAACAAAACCTATACCAAATGGAAGGTCAAACAATATGTTGCTAGTATGAGTGAAGGAAAAAATCTAGCTGTGTGTTAAATAAAAGTAAGAAGTATTTTTAACATTGGTTGTTAAAAGAATTGATGTAGAAATACAGTTTACATTGATTATATAAATAATTGATGCAAAAAATGTACATCAAAATTTTAAAATCTCATTATCTATTTTTATATTGTTTGTTTCTATAAATGATGTAATAATTATTTTTAAAATCAGTTGATATGAAACTAATTTAATAAACTTGTCATAAATTTTAAAAATGTCGTAAATTAGAATTAAATAGTTACTTTCATAATCTTTCAATTAATCAAATTTTAAGTAACATTAAAGGCTACTTTTATTAAATAATATATAATTAACTCAAATAACATGTTTAGTTGATAATCCATTAAATATAAAATGATTATTACATTTATTACATACATATGTGTGTAATGAATATATGCCTTTTATATCAATAAAATTTATTAAAATTTTATTGCTAACAAAAATAATCATGACATCAAATGTTTCCAAAACTATATTGTAAAAAATACACTAATTTTTCATAAATTATATAAAAATTATTTTAAAATAAAAATTGAATAATATATAACATGTTTGGATAATATAGTATCCATAAGCGATGTTCATTTACATACATTTAAAAAAAATAAATACTAAATCAAATTCTCTTTTTCTTATTTAATACCAAATTACATAAAAACTTATATTTGGAGAAAGATTAATAAATTTTAATGTATAAAAAGTGAAAATAAATTAATTTGAGAGTATAAGTGATTAATAATAAAAGAATAATATTAATCTTTCCTATTTAGTCCTTATCTTTCTCTTTAAATGCAATTCATGATAGCAACATAAATTATAAAAAATACAATTAATATATTTATTGGCATTAGATTTTTTTAATATGCAATTTATATCTTTTTTATATTATTTTTGTAAAATTATTTGTTATTAATTAAAATTATATTGTCAAAGCTTCAAAATAGTAATGTATCATCCCTCCCTTTTCATAACTAAAGTATTTTTTATGCTCCTTTTTTTGTCTCACATTCTTTTATGTTATTATGATTATTATTTTATTACATTTATAAAATCGTCCAATCTCTACTTATATGGATATGTAAATGAAGTACAACTCTACTTATTAAAAAAAAATTGCTACAAGAGAACACTTTATTAACAAATGAAAAATTTTCAAAAAAATATTAAAGAGAGTTCCATGAAATGTATGAAGAAATTGTAAATAAATTTCTAATAACATTAAATTAATATAATTTTTCCTTTATTCCTGATACTTTAATTTCTTAAAAAAGACAAAAAAAAAAAAAAGTATGTCATTTATTTGTAAAGGTATAGCGACGTAGAATGATATATCTGAAGAAGAAATTGAAACTTTGAAAAATCTTCTCTTAAAGCAGAATCATATATAATTCATTAGGGAATAATGATTGGCACTAGGAAATACTTTTATATGGATCCATACAAGAGCTTAGGCATGAATCTATTACTGTTTGGTGCAATCCATTGGCTTGAAAGAGACCACTTGTCTATCTAGATCAAACCCAATTAAATAATTTGATTGTGCAAAGTTACCATAAACCCCCACATCACTACTAGTGTTGGTAAATGCCAGGCAGAAAACGCCATCTTTTGGTGGAATAAAGGTTTGAATTGGCGTTAATTCTAAATCTGCATTTTCAAAATGAGCCTTTATAATAGGCCCACCAAGATTTTTTGTCGTTCGGTAGCACAGTTGGTTACCCAATTGCGGATCATCCACAATGGGCTTCAATGCAACCTGGCTCTTCACCAAAGCCACCAAACTATCATACAATTGTTGAGGTATAATAGTTGGAGGTGTTCCTGAATCAATGAACATGTTACCCTTAGCAACACTCCCTGCAGAACTGTTAAAATGTAAATAGGTATTTCCCACACTAATGCCTAGTAAGGTAACAAAATATGGGGTCTTATCTTGTTTAGCAACCAAAGGTGTAGAAACTACTCCTTGACCTAACACTTCACTCCCTACGCCAAAACTCATTTTACTTGAAACCTTAGTGTCACTTTTGAATGGTAACAAGCATTGTGAAAATCTCTTGCCTCCAACTAAAGAACCTATTTGAGAAATGAGTGACATTGGCCCTCCTCCTAGACCTATGATACCCATCTCATGATCATTGAAAGTACCTGTGTCATTATGGCCACAACCAAAGATAATGCCTCTAAGGGAAACAGGTTGACCTGTGTTTGAGATCAAGGTGATTGTTTCTTGTGCTATAACTCCTTGTGTTAAAGAAGAGTCTCCATAACCGTAGGTGTAATTGCAACGCTTATGATTAGTAGAACATACACTTGTCTCCAATTTATGACATTGCTCCGATTCACATGATACTTGGTTATAAGTGGAGGACTTACGAGGATCAAACAAGGGGTTAAGTTGCTTGTAACAATTGGGACATGGTACACATTGTGTCCATATAAGGTCACTCCCTGTGTCTGCAATACCATAGATGGTTACTGGTGGAGTTCCAATAGATAGCTCCAAGAGATGTTGACCAAGATATGCGTTTATTTGGGCTTCTGTTGTTTTTGCGTTAGATGATTTCATAAGATCACGTCGAGGAAAAACATGTGGAGTGTTTTTTCGAATCAGTTTAAGGCTAAATCTTCCATTGTTGGCTTCCATGGATGAGAAATGTGGAAGAAAAAACATGATGAGAAATGTGATTGTTATGAAGCATAGATGAAATGTTTTGGGGTCAGTCATTGTCATATATATTACGAATGAATGTGTGAAAGAACAAACAAGGCTTCCAAGGTAAGGAATTCTTGTCTATGCTGTGTGCTTTTTATATATGATCATCTATATTTGTTGTGTGATTTGTTTTATGTAAATTTAAAGTAATGATACTATTTTACAATAAATTCAATGGTTTACTAAATTAATTAAAATATTCTTTTTAAATTGTCCAATGTCCAACATGATTTCATTCCTTTTAAGTCAAAAGATGATAACTAGATCACTACTTGATTTGATACATTTTATATGTTTTAAATATATTTTTATTTGATCGATAATCTCCTAATTAATTTATGATATTCAACAATGAGTTAATGTTCCTTTTTAACATATTCAAGATGATTTCTTTCCTTTTCAAAAACTAGAATTAAATATTTATTTTCACAATTTTCAATTAATCAAGTTTTAAGCCACATTAAATGCTAATTTTATTAAATATAATATATAATTAACTTAAATAACAAGTTTAGTTGGTAATTCATTAAATATAAAATAATTATTACATTATCTACATACACATATGTGTGTAATAAATATATGCCTTTTACATCAATAAAAGTTATTAAAATTTTATTGCTAATAAAAATAATTATAAAATTTTTCAAAACTATATAGTAAAAAATATACTAAGTTTTTCATAAATTATCTAAAAATTATTTTAAAATAAAAAATTAAATAATATACAACATATTTGACCAAGATATGCGTTTATTTGAGCTTGTATAGTTTTTGCATTAGATAATTTCATAAGATCATGTCAAGAGTTAACATGTGGAGTGTTTCTTCCAATCAGTTTAAGGTTGAACCCTCCATTATTAGCTTTAATGGATGAGAAATGTGGAAGAAAAGATACAATGAAGCATATGATTGTTATGAAACGTGAATGAAATGTTATGCGACAAGTTATTATTATATATGTTATGAATGAATGTGGGAGAAAGCAAATGAGACTTCAAGGTAAGGAATTGTTGTCTATGTTGTATGCTTTTTATATAAGTTTATGAATGGTTGTTGTTATGTGAAGATACTCTTTTATGATAAATTGAATAAATTATTAAATTATATTTTTAATAATATCTAATGCTCATCATAATTTCATTCTTTTTAAGATAAAATCTAATAATTAGGATTATTATTTGATCATGTACATCAATTTCTAATATTATATTTTAAAAAAATAATTTTATTTACTAACTGAGATAATCTTCTAATCAACAAATGATTTAAAATTTCATATTAACATGTCAAAAAGATTTTTTTTCCTTTTTAAATAACTGAAATTGAATATTTACTTTCATATTTTTCTATTAATAAAATTTTAAGTATTATTAAATGCTCCATTTATTAAATATAATATATACTTAAATCAAACAATGAAGTATATATATATACCTTTTGTATCAATAAAAGTTATTATTAATAAAAATTAATTATTACATCAATTTTTTAATTAAATAATAAAAAATAAATTAATTTTGAATAAATTATTTTAAAATAAAAAATTTAACCGATATATAATATTTAGTGCATATTTAGATATCACGTCAACATAGTGTTTAACATGCACAACCTCCATTGTATAATGTTCATGTTGTATGTATCTAGGAAAAAAATGTTAATCAAACACGTTCTTACTAGTTTAATACCAAATTGCATAACAACTTATATTTGGAAAATATAAGTTGATTTAAGAGTATAAATAATTATTAATAAAAGAATAAATTTTAAATAAAAAATAGATAAAAGCAAAAAAAAATATTTAAATTAAAATATTTTATTATATTATATTTATGTTGAGAATATAAGTATATAAAAGTTGACATTTTTTTTAAAGAATGAAGATTAGACAAAGGAGTAGGATTATGATTTTTTTTATATGTGATATGATTTGAATCTTACTTTTTATATTTTACGTTTCTCTAATTTACAAAGGATAGAATGCACCTAATCTCCTAAAATTTAGTTTAAATGACAACCAATTCTTCAAGTTTAAATTTATCCTTAATATTTATTAACGTGCAAAATAAATATATTGATGCGTAACCCTTAAACATTAACGTTTTAGTACTAAATTTTCCTTTGCATTTAATGAATCATATTGATATCTTAATTATCAAATAAATAATATATTTCATATATGTTTAGAGTTGTTTAATTTTAGAGATAAAATCACAAAAAATTTATTTTACAAATAAAATAAGCTTAATATAAATATATTTTTGGATAAAACATCGGAGTTTAAAAATAAGAATTAATAGTAGACAAATCTTCCCAAACCAAAATTTCATTTCATAAAAGTTTTTAAAAAATATAAAAGAAAATTATTTTCTCTTCAGATAATTAAAGTATGAATGATGAAATACGTTCAATATTAATTTTTAGCTGATAAAGCATCTCTACTTTAACAAAATCCTTTATTATAAAATATGATGATTATTTAAATTAAAATAATAAGGTGATATAAGAACTTTTGATAAAAAAAATTAAAGAAAGGATAACTCAAAGGGTTGAAGTAGGTGTAAGGTTTCATTAATTAAACATACATTATTTATTTAAAAAAATATAGAATAATAAATATTTAATAATTTTATAAAATGACAAAAATAGACAAAGTAAAATTATTAAATCTGTACAAGTGAATATCATAATGTTATTAAGTGTGGCGTTTATAGTAAGCTTAGTTGACATGATTTGACTAACATGTGATAAAAGTGAAGGCATGGACTCAAATACGGGGCCAATAGGACACGACCCATCTCATCTGGTGGCCACGTAAACAATATCAGAATACGAAAGCTAAGCCCAATGATGGCAAAAAGGTCATTTCATCCCCTTCTCGGCCTCATTTATCACATACTTTCTAGCTCAAACACTAGTTTGCATTTTCATGCAAATAGTTTTATTATTTTTAACACAATTTTTATTATTAGTATTAAAAATTAAATAAATACAAAAAAATTAATTTATAAGCAAAAAATAAATAAATTTTAATTAATAATAAAGATGTGTTATAAAAAGTGTATTGTTAACGTTAATGATTAATTTTTGACGTTTTTTTAGTTTTTATGGAGATAGGAGAAAAGGAATAATGTTTGTGTTTGGATTAATATAAGAAAGATAAGGACGGAGAAAATTGCTTTTTTGTTATTTTTATCACACACACAAAATCATCCATTTATAATAATAGAAAGAAAAAGTAACCAATGGGAGAGGGAACACAGCGACAAATCACAAATGTGGGGGAAGAGAGCATAGTGCTGCATGCAATTTTTATTTTTTTTTTAATTTAATTATGAAAAATAACATTATTTATATTAGTTTAAATTTTTATAAATATTTTCAATATAATTAAATTATTTATTTATATTTTTTATTCTATTTTATATACTCTTAATTTTTCTTCTCATCTGTTACATTCTTCTTTATTTCACTTCGGCAAACAAAGAATTTTGATTCTGATAATAGGTCTTTCTTCTATGGTAATTTTTTTATTATACTCTTTATATAACGCTGTAAATAAATAAATGAAAATTTATTTTTAGAATAAGTAATAATTACAAAAAAATTAATCTAATTTTAAAATTATAAAATAGTTATTAATTGGTCGAGACTATCATTTTTTTTTTAATCATTGGTGTAAGCATTTTTTCCATTGCCAGCTTGAAGTCTAGTATAAAGAACATGTACTTTTTACAAAGAAAAGAAAAGCATACAACATTCAATTGTATTGGAACCAACGTGGAAAGGGGGAATTTGTCTTATAGAAGACTACTTTTTTATTTTTTTGTGTCGATAATCGTAATTATTTACATTATGCGTTAAAAATTTGTAATTTAGTCAATAAACAGATTTTAAATACTCCCTCAATATTTAAATGATTATTGTTCTAGTATTTTTTTAAAATTATTTATTGATTTATAATATTAATAAAATATTATTATACCTATTTTAAAATTTATTTATCTAATAAATGATAAAAATAAATAAATTATGAGATGATAAATGTATCTTAAAAGTTAAAATTATAAAATGACTATTATTTTAAGAAAAATAAAATTAACTAAAAAGACTATTTTCCGTGAATAGAAAAAATATACACCAAAGAACACATGATAAGAGATTATATATATTTTTAAATTAAAAATATTTGTTATTTTAAAAATATTTAAGTCTTTCAATACGTATTTTCTAACATCACATTAATCTATCTTGTTATGATGATTATTATATTATATATATAATATCTATGTTCTTATCAAACAAAACAGGATGAGTAGCATAGTCTTTTAAGAAATAAATTAATAAAATTTTCATTTTGAAATAGTTATCATTTTAAGGTGTTGTACAAAAACTAAAATTAATACGTTTTTAAATTTATATATCTTGTGTACATAATACTTAAGTTATTTTTAAGTATAATTGCCACGTGGTATTTTTTAATTATTTAATTTATTAATTTATCTATTTTCTTTTATACATTTATTAATATTTTTTTTCTGGATTTCCATTTTCGTGACCTTCCAAGCTTTTTATCTTTGTTTTCTTAAAAATCAAATATAAATAACAGCATGTTAATTTTATCAAAATAAACATAAATGCATAATTTATTACATATATTTATCCTAAATATAAAAAATGTACATTTTGCTATTATTTTTTACTTTTTAAAAGTTTGTTTATATTACAAATTTGTTAAACAAGCAGAAACTAAACTACTTTTTTCTTTATAAAACATAAAAATACATTTTTTTATTTATATTGATCATAAACAGAGATAAATAAACAAATTTACATAATACAAGAAAATACTGATTGTCCTTTTTTTATAATTTTTGTTACCGCAAGTTGAATTGAAAATAATACTTAAATAGTACTTGCATAATTCAGATTTCAGATGCTTAATTAACACTATACTACCTTCAATATTTTGTACTCCGAAATACTGTTATCTTCAATGCTTATCTGTTTTTAACCCTTCAATACTTATACCATGCTTTTAACTCTTCAATAATTTTTAAAAATTGAAAATTTAGTGATTAATTGTAAACATATTCTAAGAAATAATTAGTAATATTTAAAAAAATAATAATTTTGAATAATGAATTATTATTTTTATTTATACTACTATTTATTGTAAATTTTGTATTATTAAAATATTTATTCTATATTTATATAAATAGATATATTCCTTTATTTAATAGATAAGACATTAATTAATACTATTGATATTTTAAAATAAAAACTAAATTTATAATATATAATTAATTTTTATTATTTTGATAAATTAAATATTTATTTTTTATAAATAAGAATAGACATAGTAATTTTTTATAAGATTTGAAAATATATTCACATAATTATTAAAATAATTTTATATATAAAAAAACTTAAATACAGTTCCATGTATTATTAGTGTTATTTTTAATTAAAATTAGAGTTTCATCTAAATAATATTTGTGAACTTTTATTGTGTACATATTTATATTTTTCATAATTGAAAGGGTTTAATACTCTCTATTAATTTTATATTAATAAATAGTATAGTTAGTAGTTTAGTTAAAAAAATATTAATATTTTCTAATTTTAATATATTAGAAAAATTATAACTGGTAATTAAAAAAAATATAAAATACTCTCGTAAATAAGTATTGCAGCAAATTATATATATATATTAGAAACACTGTATCTGCTGCCGAGCTCAATAAGAAAACGAATTATTGAATAAAAAAAAAAAAAATTCAACCAGGAAGGGTAACTACTGAGTTCCAATTCTCCTGCAGCTGCTATCTTAGCTTCTGTCATGCGCTTTGTATGATTAACCAATCGACAGCGTACAAGTTTGCGATGACCTCATTTATATCTCAATGACACACTGCCACAGATGCTGTGAAATATTCCCTTTTGTGCGTTCCGTGTTCCAAGCGCGTCCTTCTTCCTACCAAAATGGCTTGAAAAAATAAAATACTAAAATGTAAGACTTTGAAAAAAATTATAGAAATATAAAAAAATTAAAAATTGTCATTAGTATTTTTTGTTGTTTAATTTTTTTAATAATTTTAAAAAAATCTAACAACGATTTTTGTATTTTAAAATCTGACAATGTTATACAATATTGTTATATGTACAAATAACTTTATTTTATTTATATCTTCGTAAATATCTCAATGTTAGTTTTAATACTAATTAGAGAGCCATTTCAAACACTGAATAAATTATATAGCTAAAAATCGATTATCCATTATATTTAATTCAAATTAGTTGTTAAATAAATAAATAAAAGAAAAGTCAACAAAATTTTGAATTTCACAGTAAATCTGACAAAATTATTATTTTTTTAAGTCATTAGTATTCAAATGCCACGTAAGCAATCGACTAATCCAAGTCAAATGGAATAATATAATCATGAATGAAAGTTTTTATATTTAAATCTTTTGAATCCTGTAACTAGTACTATTAAAACTTAGAGATATTTTAGAAATGATATCAAAAAGTGTATTAATAAAACATAGAAAGCGTAACGAAGCAAAGCAATTAATGTTGGCTAAGTAATTACTGGCCTAAGAAATTATTGGCGGAATGGTATTTATGTTTTTTAAAAAAGAGTAACGGCGTTGGTGAAGAAAAGAACGGGACGTTAACGGGGGAGATTTATGCTATGTGCGTACGTGTTAGGTACGAACAAGGAAGCGGCATGGTGCACCATGTGTCCTCGTGTCTACCGTTACCATTATTTTTGGGTATAAATATCCATTCTCATTTCTCAACCAACACAGCACAACCAAACCAAGCTTCTAACTACACACTCTCTTTCTCCATCCTCCACTGTAGTGTTTTGCTCTCTCTCTGTCTCTCTCTTCGTTGGTCTCATTGTATGGCCGCCAATTCGAGTAGCCGAGGGATCACCGCCTTGGGGAAGCGAGTCGCCAACCGGATCTGGACCTCCAGCTCCCCTTCACCTCCTTCTTCTCCTCTCACTTCCAGGTACCTTTTTTTTGCTCTACGATTTTCTGTTCCTTTTGATTTTTACTCTGCGTTGGTAGTTTTGTTGTTTCTCGGTTATATTCGGTAAATTTGTTGTTTAATTAATAAATTAGTGTAACGATGATAGTTAGTTGCAAATTCGTTAAATTCAAGTACTATTGGTAATTAATCAAGCCGTGGTTTTAATTTGTTAGGAAATTGTGTGGTTTGAGTGATTGATGTTGTCGCGTTTGTGATTGGTAATTTGTACGGCTTATTATTGCAAGCGATCGTGATCTTCGGAGATCACCATGTCATCTTCTAATATTCCGATGCTTTTATTCCGTGTTCGTTTGGAGGGGAAAATCTTCGGAACAACGAATTAGAATAGTGAATCATAGGTTTTTCTAGAAATCTCTTAGATTAAACTCCTCCTCTTGGTCTCCGTATATATATTTTGCCCTTTTGCTGGAAAAAAATAAAAATGAATATAGGGCGTTGCTTGAACTGTGCATTGCGAAAGATAATCCGTTTTGGAAACTATTGTTTTCTCATCCCTGTCCCTGAATTGCTTTTTTTCCGCTTTCCCTTTTTCTCTTGCCATAATCTTTTCCATACCTTATCTGATTCTTCTTTAACCTTTTTTGCTTACATCATAAAGTATTGTTGTAGTTGTAGCCTAGCCTTCTGGTTGGTTCTGTGCGCTATCAATTTATATATTATTATATTATAATGAAATGTCCATATCCTTCCATCTTGGACTGTTCTGCCCAGGGATGAACTTCGTTCTTGTTGAATCTGTTGACGCCTCCATACTTGTAATAACTATTATGTCTCCTCTCTCTTTTCTTTTTTCTTTTTTTTATAAAATTTTTTTCCTTCCCAATAATATAATTTTGTATATAAAAAAAGCTGCTCCTGCCCCCTAAAAGATGGCTGATGCTTTTTGTGTTCAGCATAATTTAAAACGAATAAAAATAAAGGCATGTTCTTCCTAGCTATTATCTTTTATCTTTCTGGCAGTGTATTGATTTGACAATATGAAAATACCATCCGTCCGGGCCTCGATAGGAGACGAAAGACAAAGTAAAGGAAGTGGATGGGGATAATTGTTTTCCAACTCATCCTTCTCAACTCAACCCAACCCACAACGTCCCTTTCCGTATGTCCCCCGATTTGTGTTGTTCCCTGTACCGGGAAAATATCAACTTGCTTTAAATTGAAGATTATACCAACTTTTATTTTAAAAGTACCCTTCAAAAGTTTATTTAAGTAATTAAAACATTTGTTTAATAAAAATAGTTCTTTAGTTAGGTACTTGAATTAGATTATTATTAGGGTTTTTAAAACGCTACTTCACCTAGATTTTTTTAAAAACGTTTAATTTTAGTCATTAGTTGAAAGAATTTTTTTATCTGTTATTTTATATTTATTAACTAATTTAACAGCTAATTTAATAAATAACCTTTTAGCTTTCACCTAGCGTATTTGCTTAAGTTTATCAAATACAGCCTAAACTATTGTAAATTTGACCGCTTTTTAAAAATGTACTACCTTATAATATCAATCTGTTATAGGATGAAGTTTGTGATCAGTTGGTAGTTGACAAATAAGAAATTAGCAATTACTTGGATTGCAGTCGGTTTAGTAGACGGAGTTAAGCGTCTATGGATGGCTTCACCTAATTCACCATTATGGATAAATATTGTTTGTTCAGATAAATATCTATTATGTTCTAATTTACCTTGCATGATTTTTGTCGACGTGTACAAATAGTTTAATGATAACTGATAAGATGAGATGAGATTTAAGTAGGCGGGGCCCAGGTTGTTTGTTTATTTATATAGTAGAAAGGACGCAACGTTGTTTTTATCTGGCGAGTATCTGTTTGTGTCACAGTCCTTTCTCTTTGCACTGCTCATAATATATTTTTAGCATCCTTGTAAAAGAATATTAGGGCTAGGCCCATCTGCTGAGTGTAGGTTATCGTGTCTTTTACACGACTTGAGAAAATAAAAATTAACTAAAAATAAATTAATAAGTTTTTACTAGTAAGTCTAATTTGTTGTCAAACAGAAATGAATAATATTTTTTTTCTTAAATACACATAATTTACTACGCATGCACATGCGGTTTTAAATATTTTATTTCCATTTAGTTTAATTTATAATATTAATTAAATGGCTAATATTTGTTGTTTAAAAGTGATGCTTATTCTTGTATACAACTTCTTTACGAAGAAAGAAATAAAAGTACATTGCTAACCAAATAAAAAGTGCATTGAGCATTTTCAAACTCTTGGAACCTCGTGTAATAGATCAATATTGAATGGCTAGCTATAATAGAAGCATAATGTCCGTCAAAAGTGCTATTATATAAAATTAAATATAATATCGATATTTTTCTTTTCTTAAGTAAATATATTTATATTTAGAATATAAATACAATTTTTAAAAGTTAACGATGGATATTTAAATGTTTACAGTATATATATATATATACACGATAATATTTAATTAATGATTACAATTTCTCTATTTTTTTTAAAACGAGGTCTTCCCTTTAAAGTACTTATATTTAGATTGTGTTTAGATAAATAATATAAGGCCTTTGTTAATCTCAGCTTTTAAGGCTGAGTTTAAATATCCACAATAAAAAATTTTGATAAAAAAAGTACATAGTTATTGTATAGTTATAAAAATTTAATAAATATTTTTTCTAATAAATTTTTTTAATTATTAATTTCTTATCTTTTGTCTTAAGAGATGAGGTTAACAAAATTTATAATATAATTAAATAATTTTATTTAATTTTTTTCACATGAATTTGATATAAATTTAATTAAAACAAAATATTTTCACACTCGTTTCATCATGGAACGAATATAGACAACATTACCAGTTAAGTGTTTTGAGCATACAAAACAAACGCGTGTTGCATGCTTTCAATAAATTTGTATTTATTTTTGCTGGTCATGGTGGCATGGGAGGATGCTAAAATCTATTATAATTGTGGCTATTATTAATTTATTATTGTCATGCTACCGTACATGGTCAACCTGTCCAAGTGGATCAATTTATTTAAATGTGAGTTAGTTATGTTGAGTGGTTATGAATTATTTTTAATAGGTTTTTGTTGTTTCAATCAAAACGTATGGGGAATAAGATGGTGGCAGTGTGCTGTAAACCATGAGCAATTGCAATCTCGTCAATGGGTAACGTGCTTTTTAGATTTAGTAGTATCATCTTTCATTACAAACCAATATTTTGTAAAAAAAAAAAAAAATTATTATTATTAGTGGTACACTGTAAATTAAATTAAAAGAAGGCGTGGAAAATGCGCGCCGATTACTTTAATTGCGAAAAGTGGTTGAATTTGTTGGTGGTCGAAATCTCATTAAGCTCATATATACCTATCACGTGATTGCCAATTTTTGTTTTAACACCTAACTGCCCACATGTATACAAGTAAGTGCACGTGGATGAAGATGAGATCTCCTTGTCAAGGGGTTTAGTTCCGTTAAACGACTGTTAGATGAATCTTGGTAGAAATATCTAAGCGTGTAATTTTTTCCGTTTAATAATATTAAGATTAAAATTTTGTACCAAAAAGGAATTAAGACTAAGGTTTTAAAAATCATGAAATTGATAACAATGCTTAGGATAAATTTTACACGTAGGGGGACGCGTTGTAACGTGGAAGCAATATCTATGACTGTTGAAAGTCAATTACAAAGGGAGCTATTTATTTTTTGGGTCAGTAAAGGGTCCCTTGTTCATTATGAGTTTTTGTTGGAATGCAGGAGGGTAGCAGCATATAGCAGCTCACTGTACGACAAGAACCCTGATGATCAGATCCACTCTGGGCCTGTCCCAGACGATGTGATCCACGCAACTCAGTCCGGCAAATACTGGGCCCCACACCCACAGACTGGGGTATTTGGGCCCCCCGGCGACCAAGTCACTCCTTCTCCTACCACTTCCGGCGGGGAACGCAGCTTTCATTCGGATGCAAATACTGACTCCGTGCTGGAGGAGAAGGCCTGGTTTCGCCCTACCAGTCTCGAGGACTTGGAGAAGCCCCACTCCCTTCCGTAGTTTCAAATAAATATATAAACCCTTTCTGTTAAAACATATAATAATAATATATGTGCGTATATATTATAATACCAAATAAATAAAAGACACTAGTGAGTAGTGATCTAGTGGAAGTGGTGTGGTGACTCTAGCTTTTGTATATTTAGTGCTAAGCTTCTAAGTGCCCACGGATTGCATTCAGGTTGGCTTAAGTGTGTGGGCTGGAGCTGCTTTTATTATACATAGCTAGTCATGAACTACGTTATGCATGTATGCTTATTGTTTCTATTCTCATGCAACTTTAATATCAGACTTAGGCGTTCGCTTTTGCTTATGTTATGTTGTGACTCGTTCTTCTTAATATCCCTTCTACTCTGTTACCCTTAACCCACTGGGCCACTGAGATGTCAACAAGTTTCAAAGTTACCAGCGTATTGGTTGACTCATTTACAAACTGCCAGTGAAATCTATTTAAACTTGTTGTGGCTAACTCTAAGAATGAGGTCCGGCCTAAGCAACGAAATCGCCATGGGTCCACTGGTCTAAACAACATACAGTTTAGGTGTCTATAAACGGACTTTTATACTCCAAGTCAGTGTTTATATTAATAGGGTTATTTCGAACATATTATACACCTACTATAGTTTCGTTCATTTATTTATGGGGATCTGATAAGGATAAGTCAAGTCACTGTGAGGCGAGGAGAGTGTAACTCCAATAACCATCGTAAAATTCGGATGAGGTTGTCAATTTCGGATAAGTGTAAGTCACTTTAGTTTTCTTCGAAGATCAAATTTCTTCGTTAACAGAGCAGTTGCATGAAATGAACACTTAAGTAGCAGTAAAACCCGAAGTTTTTTTCTTTTTATCTAGAATTCTACACTGCTTGGAAAAACGGAAACACAATATGCTACTTTTTGGAAAATGAAAAAAATATATTAATTTTCTATTTATATTTTATTTTAAGAATAACTGTAAATTTGTGACAGTTACACTTAATGCTTTATGTTTATAAATCACAGTTGATGATTCACGATCGTACTTATTGATTATCTAACAAGATTTGCTGTGATATTTATATTTCTTTTTTTAAAAAATATGATATGATTAATAAATTCGGAGAAGAATGAGAATGCAATGATGAATAGTGAAGCATTTGAAAGGGTGCATAAGAAAAAGATAAGATAGTGCAAGAATTACGAATTAAGTAGATAAGAGGAGGCGAATAAGCGCAAGTACGTACCCCGCTTACTTCCACCCCCATCTGCTCCTATCCCATGCAAAAAGGGCATGTATACGTAAACAAATACGCAAAATGGGCAAATAGAAATATTTATTATACCTCTACAAATTGGAATAAGATCAATGTGTAATCCATTTTTAATATTGTTAAATAAAGTGACAAAATCATCTTAAAAATTTCTCTTGCATATTCACTCTTTGAATCAAAACCCGTGATACTTCTGTACAACGCAATTTTTTTTTTCTTTGCAAGCACATTAGTTATTACGATCATGCAGGTTATACCAATCGTGACTGGTCATTTTCTTATATGCTGCCGCCGTATACAACATACAACGTTTATAAGGGATCCCTTACCCATTAGGTGAGGTAGCTGAGAGTTCCCACAGTTAATTTTTTTGGCTTATCCGTCCGTTAACATTATAGCCAGGTGTGCACAATTAGTTTGGTCCTGTTTGAGTGAGGACATCAACACCAATTAAAATAGAATTATTTAATTTGTTAAAATTGTCTTTGTCAGGCCAAAGTAAATCCCATAAAAAAACGGAGATTTATTTTTTTTAATCGAGTTTTATTTTTTTAATAACATAATTAGAGAATTCAAATTAATTAAGCTAAATAACTATCATTTTGACTAAAACACGTCACGCTGTGCATGTACATAGACAAAAATGAAATGAAATCATGAGGTTGATTTGAATCGATTAATTTAGATAACCATCATTTTTCACCAAAATAAGATCGTGTTATACATATAAATGAAAAAAAATTCTCAGAGATGCATCTAGTTTAGGAACAGCATATACAATTTTAAATCAATACCCTCCCTAATTAATAATGATTGAGTTTTATTAGTAGTTTTAATTTGGACCTGAACAAACAAACCAAATCGAATTTACTTAATTATTTTGATTTGATTTTTCAGTTTATCTTGGTAGTCCTAAGTCCTAACTAATGTACACACATCCAATTATAGCAGCCAATAATGTAGTAGTGGTAGTAGTACAAGGGAGCACGACTTTTCCAAAGCGTATAATGTCTCAGATACTATTTAGTATTCGTCACATTATATGTAACTGTTTATCAGCCTTGTTGTCATTTTTTGGCGAATGAAAACGAACCTTCAATTTCGGCTAGTAAAAAATGAAAATGGCACCTTCAATATCGTCTAGTAATAAGTATGAACTAAACAGCAAGACTGAAAAACAATCCATGATCGTAAGATAGTAACTGAGGAACATGAAGCCAACAGTATACTTTTATTAAAACGTCCCAAAACTTTTAAAAACAGATCAATGGTACCAGCATCTGGCATGAAACTTGTGTTAATCTTCTAAGTTTAATTGATGATCTGTAAATGCAAATATCCCGAAGTTTAGTGCTTGTTTCTTTCTTCTTCATCATCATCATCATCATCTATGTTTTCATTCAAGTGCTGACGGTACTGTAAAGGCCTTTGAGAATCTTCCCAGTCCCCAATATTTCTTGATTGTTGTTGGTCCTGTGGCAACTTCTTTTTTCCTTTCTTGCTTCCCTTCATCACAATTCACAAAAATAGATATCCACGTTAGAGAGAAATACAAAACTTATTCACAATATGCAACGAATCTATGTTAACACGGTGAAGAGTACCTCCTCAGACATTTCTTGATGCTGATTCAAATGGTCTTTCTTCCTATCACTTGATGATAGCTTATCTGAAACATTCCTGAATAGTTGAAACCCCTCGATATCTCCATTTCTAATGCTTGCTTCCAGCTGCAATGTAAGTATTTTTATCAATACAAAAACAATTAAGAGCTAAGACATGGCTTCAGAATGGTTGGTCTAATCCAAGCCACTTGAAATATTCGAACCGGATCATTAAGCTCTGGAAAAATTTTAGCTTCTCAGTTCAGCAACATCTTTGCTTAATCAAGGTTCAAAAATAGCAAATGCCAAGACTTGTATGTGAACTATGAAAATCTAACTAGAAAATATCGCAATCAGCACGAACCTGAATGTGAACTATGCAGAACAGAATGCTAGCAATAGGCAGCCAACTTTCTTCAGGAGACAACGATAGATTTGACCTGATAAATCAATAAATCATGTCATTCACAAATTTCAAATTACACAGAATCTACACACATCATAATTCAAATGCCATTGAATTCTCTGGGAATGAAATGCAAGATACTAATTATGTTTGGGCCACACATCCAATAATAGGAACATACAATGACTTGAACTATTTCAAAAAAATGCTCAAAAACAATTAAGGAATAACCACATTGGATGCGTTAAGCAAAAACACAATATTGTATAAGAACTGAAGTTGCAATTGTGCCCAAATAGAGATGTGTTTGTTTGTAAATTGGGAAATGAAAAATGAGAAATGCACCTGAGATAAGGAGCCAAATAAACAATTGCGTAAACAGCATAACGTCGTTTCCCGGTATCTAGCCACGCGAAGACCCAACTCTACATATTTTGAAGTGAGTGAGATAACGGTGCCAGTAACAACTGGAAAAAAAAAAACTTTTTTTTTTCTTAATATTTTGAAAATCTGAGACCCAGAAATCTTAAAGAGAAAAAAGAGGGTTCGAGTTACCAGCCAATTGAAATAAGGGATGAAACTAAGGATTCCCATGACGACGAGTCTTGTATCGGTTGAGTCGACGGTGGAGTCAGCATCGTCTTCCTGAGGGGAAGCAGACACTGGAAAAAGCAAAGAAGTGAACATGCAAGCGCCGATTGCGGCAGCAAAGGGAGCATCGTCGGAGAAGAGTGCTCTGCACCTTTGCGTGTTTCTGAAATTGGGCTTGGTATGGTAGGGTTTGAATCCAATTACAGAGAAAGGAAGTTTAAGAGGTGATGGGTTGAATTTGAAGAAAGGGCGTGAATGGAGGAAAGTGGAAGAAGAAATCATGGGTTCATAATCCGATTCGAAACCTCTCCCTTTAGACTTAGAGTTGAATTGAGGCTTATCTGACTCACCCACTAACCATCTCCATTCTACATGCTTCTCATTCTGTACCACAATGACAAACAAAGCCCCCCTTCAGTTTTGGGGTAATCATTATTTTATTTTTCAAAATTTAACTCAATTTTATTCTGACTTTTGATAAAAAGTTAACTATTGCTGGTTGAAAAACAATGTGTTACAAAAAAGTGTGTGAGAGTTTATTCTTAACATTATATATATATATATATATGTATGATTTTTTTATTATTTAATGTGCTAGATAAATAATTTTATTAGTTTTTACTTGATCTTATATATTTGGGCCTTAAAAATTGTAAGTTTAATGGGATGTAGTGATAAATTGTTGTGGATTACAAAAGTAAATAATAAAATTCTGACTTTAGTCTTTTATATAATAAAAATGAGATATTTTTTAAGTAATGAATTTTAATTTAGCGTAAGAATTTATTATTTAAGGTTTTGTTTGGAAGTTTGGAGGGGAGAAAAAGGTTTGAAGGAAGAAAGAAGTTAAACTTTTTCTTTATTTGTTTGAATATTTAATATTAAAAAGGAAAAGTGATGAGAATTTAAATATATAAATAGTATTGTAATATTTTATATCTTTTATTTATATATATTTTTAATTTTTATAAAAAAATAGTTTTTAAAAAGTTAATAATTTTAAAATTAACATTTTTTATAAATTTTTTTAAAAAAATTTTACTTAAAAAACTAATATTAAAAAAATTTAAAATTCTAATCATAAAAAATATGATAGAGTAAAAGAAAGAAAATTTCTATAGTAAAACACAAAGAAAAAATTAGTATTGAAAGAATTTTAAAGAATTTAGAAAACTCAAAATCTTTTACTTTTTAATTAAGTAACTTTCAGATAATGGTAAATTATTTTCTTTTTTTTTTAAACATAACTATCAAACATAATTTAAGTTACAACTTCCTCATTTCACAAGGTGTAGTCATTACCAAAGTTAGAAAGATAAAAGAGTGGCATAACAAAACAACCTTCTAACATATAAGTTAGTGTTACTTCCAGAATAACAAGAGAATAGACCATACGTGGTGCACAAGGAGTTTCACTTAAGTGCGTTTTGGACTAAACATTTGGCCCACTTCAATTTTGGGCTATTAGCAATCTAAGAAGAGAGTTGACTTCAGTGTTTAGAGCTTTTTAGGTTGACCAATAATATTACTATTGTTAGTTTGTTGAAGGGATTAACATGAAATATGTAAGATTAAAATATAATTTTAAATAAGTTCAGAATTAAAATAAAAAGACAAAATTTAAGTATAATTTCTTAAGTATATTTATATTATTTTTAATTAAAATTAAAGTTTGGTCTTGATAACCTACCAATATTAAATGCATTATGATTTTAAAAAAATCATTTATTTTTTTTACATTGTTGGTGTGATTTCTCTTATAATCACACCAACAATAAGAGTGTTTTAGGTATAAAAAATCAATAAAAAAAAGGTAACAATACTTTATTATTATTTTTATTATTATTAGACTTAGGTGTGTTTGATGATAATTTTAAAAGAAGAAAAAAGAAATTGAAGGTCCAGAAACGGAACGCATTGAGAAGAGAGAGAGCAGAGAATTGCTGTATGTGTCTGTACTCTGTACACAAAACAAAGGAGCCAAGTTGGGGTTTTCTCGTCTCAACAACGCACTGTTTTACCTCTGCTTGCCTCGTTGCTTATGATCTCTGCTCTTGGTAATTATCATTGTCAGTATCAGATCTGATTTCCCACTATTTTGTGGTTTCGATTTCTCACGTTCTTTTGAATCACAGTGAAAATTCAGCTTCTAATGTTTGTTAATTACTAGTATGCCATGATAAATATTCGGGTGGGTTCTGTTTATCTTTTAGCAAATATAATTAAAATTTGAATTTCAGCAATGGTAAATTTCAATCTAAATCAAATTCTCAATTTATGGGTTTCATGTTGCCTTGCGCAATTTATGTTTGATAAATTGCTTTTTTGAGGAAGAATTTTGATTAATTGTTTCTTTTCCTGTAGAGGCAATATGAAGAAGCAACACGGTTATGTGCCACCTGCTTACATCCCTTTGGGGCAATCAGATTCAGAGGCAGTGGATGTCTCGCTGCATCAGCAGGGTGAACAACTTCGTAGTGGCAATGGATCAACCCAAATGCAGACCCAGTGGTCTTCTGGAATATGTGCTTGTTGCGATGATATGCAGAGCTGTATGCTACTCCCTTACCCTGTGATCCTCATTTAGTACAAAGGTGCCTCTTGACTATGTTTAAGGAAATTTGGTTGTGTCCTTGCTGTTTGATCCTAATCATGTTAGGTATCTTGTGTTTTAAATATTAGTGAGTTTAGGCGGTGGAACCTGTTATTTGTGTATCTTAGTGATAAAATCAAAATGGAATTGTCAACTATGTGACTTATAGGTCATAAGTTGAAGTTGTGGAATCAGCCTCTTGCAAATGCAAGGTAAGGCTGTTTGCAATAGACCCATCCCGGTACCTTGTGCAGAGCAGGAGCTTCAGAGAACCACCTTGCCTCTTTTTCAATCGCAAAAGGAAGGTCATGGCTGTACTGTGTCAGTAACATACTTTGACATGCTATTTTTAATTTTTTATTAGGTTTTAACATTTTGTCATATTAATTTTTTTTTAAAATCCTTTGATGAAATTGAGGGTCAGCTTAGCGCAACAATAAGGTTGCTGCTTAATGACCCGGAATTCACTGGTTGAAATCCTAGAAACAACCGCTCTGCTTGAGGGAGTAAGGCTTCTTTTGTGTAAAAAATATGGAATCCTTTCTTTAAGATTATTATTTTACACTGCATTGTTATGCTTTTATTTTCTATCAATATTGGATGATTTTTACATTATATCTTTAGACATTTGAGTTGAACAATAATAATATCATTATTCAGCTCAAATTGTTGAAAATTTTTATGAAGGGCAGGAAACATTAGCAAAAGAACTTCTAAAGGAGGTTTTTGAAATTGTATATTTAATACAATAATAAGGAGATCAGTTAGGCTTAATTAATGACTCACGATCTTTGAATTTTTTGGTGGACTGCAAAAGATAGAAGGTTAAGGCTATTGTTGCTTTACTTCTGATGTTGCTAGTAAGGTTGAGAAATTATATCACAGAAATCATAGCAACATACTAAGAAATTAAGAACAGCAGCTGAGGAAACAATGTGGATCATGATGGAAAAGCTCTTATTTTTACTTTTGGCATTATGTTAGCCATTATATTGTGTGTCTAGCCCATGTTAAACATTACTAATTATGTGAACACTTAACTTATTGTTCTTATTTATGATTATTGACTAGAAAAATCTTTTAATTACTCTCTTATGATTTTGCACCAGTTTTTATTTATTTCCTACAGTAATAAGGGCATGGAGTAAATGTATCAACACTCAGCACCTCAATTAGTAAATAACTTTTTCAAGTCAAGAGCTTGCTGATTCAAATATTTAAATTTAAGTAATACAAAAAGTTCATGTTTTGTTATTTTATGATAATGTGATTTATCAGCTAAGAAGATTGGCTGCAAACTTTTTTCATCTGTGCAGGTTGTATAGGTTGTCTTTGTCCTTGCTTTCTCTTTGGGAAGAATGCAGAAATTCTAGGTTCTGGAACTTTCCTGGGATCATGTGTTACCCATTTTATATTATGGAGCATGGTTAATACAGCCTGCTGCTTTTTAACTGATGGCTTGTTTTTGGGATTACCGGGATGCCTTGTTTCCTGTTATGCTTGTGGCTACCGCAGGACCTTAAGGTCAAAGTATAATTTGCCGGTAATGTTACTACAATTATGCTTTACATGAACTCTTACAATATTATTTTTTCTTCTATTTTCCATTCTCGATGTAATGTTGCAAAATTTTTATTATTCTTCATGGCATAAGGCCTCAAATATAATTTTTGTATTTAGCAATTGCAGTTTTGCTTTGAAGAGGAGACTGGTTGATGAAATTTAAGCAAAATATTAAATGGTTCTTAACTGCAGGTTAAAAGAACTTTAGGCTCTAAGATTTTCTAATGGATGGATAAAAGAGCTTTTGATATATGCTAATCAGGACGGGAAAGAGAAATAAATCCCCAGTTCTCTTCACTTCCTCAAAACACCAACGCATAATTAGAGACCAGTTTGCATCTAGAATTTAAATGAGATAAAAATCAAAACAAAAGAAGAGTTCTTTATTTCACTAAGAAAGGGTTTCGGTCTTGTCGTAAAGCTATGAGGCAGATTGAAGGATGTTATTCCTTCAAGTCTATTTGTTCCTGCTTGTTAGACCAAGGCATGGGCTAATTAGGAGAAAAATTGAAAATACTTTTTCGACTTGCTGTTTATTCATATTTCAGAGTACTTCCAGGTCGTGAAAGGGCAGTTTATTGATTGAGGTAGGGTAGCTTTTTCTTAAATATGCTTCTGGTAAGTGAAACACTGCCAAACAGGCCTTCACTTTATGTATTTTCCTAGTCGCATAACTGTTCGTTGTGTCAAAATAATCTATACTTCTTAATTTGCCTGTAGTAGATAAAGTTTGATATTTTATTTGAATTTTCCAATCTAGCATTTTGGATGCCTTATTGAAAGAGAATTACTGTGACTATGCTATGCTACAATTATACATTCTTCTGTCTTATGTAGGAAGCACCCTGTGGGGATTTTGTTACCCATTTTTTCTGTCATCTTTGTGCCATTTGTCAAGAGTATCGTGAGATACGTGAAAGATCAGGTGATTGTGAGGCCACGGATATGAAGTTGGCTGTAGTCACAGCTCCGCCAATCCAGACGATGCAGTCTGATTCCAAGCAGTAATGCTAGTGCTGCTCTTCCCCTCCACCTCGTGTGATATGAGGGGTTTCAAAATTACACCCTACATGTTAATGTAATATTTGATGCTTATGATAATATTTTCTCAGTTTTACTTTTTTAATTTTCGTCAACAAAACTAGAAGAATATCAGATACCCAGTTGTACATGAAAATTTAGTACATTTAATGCCTAATTATTACTTTCCAAGTTTCATCTTTACTCTTTTTTCCCCTTAAAACACAAGCGAAACAACTTGCGCCGTGGTACAAGCTAATTATTAATATCAGGCTCTTTCTAACTTGCAATTTCACCTTTCAATTAGCGATTTGCCTCTCCTGGAGTTTAAGGTTTAGTAGTTAAGTAGTCAATGAAACGAGAAATTGCAAGTAGTCAATACCGTTGAGATTCAATGAATTCAGTAGTAATCAATACCGTTAAGTAGACGATTATACCCCAGAAATGCCCAACCAAAAAAAGTCCCACTTTCTTGTTTTTTATCTATCACATAATTTACATTTGAATAACAGAAAGAAGTGCTGCCACGTGGATGGGCTGTTAACATCTTAAATGTTCTAAAAACTAGACAACAAAATATCAATCTTATTAGGATATTTGTGTAATTTTCCTGTTTAAAATTCCTATCGAGAACCAATCTATGTAATTATTCCGTCCTTATAAATATTATGAATGAATGAAGAAATACTGTCAGGTGTTTTCCTACATCTCCACTTTCAACATATCCATGAACTCATCAACAAGCAGCCAACAGTGTATGTGCTTCCTCAACTAAAGCATCTAGACCCAAAAAATCCACCATGCAAGCAACGTTTGATGCAGTTGAGGAATGCAAGTGGCCATTGAGGGAATGCAAGTGGTATATTACCAATAATCATTACAAGAGCATGTTGCATATTTGAAGTGGTGAAAGCGGTTTGAATCTCTCACAACAATCTCCTTCTGAAATACATATGATGCTAATTTCATGAAGTTATGACAGTCCACACAAATACGAATGTTTTTCATTATTTTGATGACATTCCCACCATAAGGCAAACTTCCTTCATTCATTATGGCAAATACCAATGCCATCTTCTCACTGTGATGAAACAATTGGTCTTCTTTGTGCTCCATTTCCGTGTCATACAAGGCTAAGCTAAGATCTGGTACATAACCCATCTCTTTCAATTGCCCAATCAATATCTCAAGCCGGCTTAATATGGCTCCCCTTTGTGGATGATGTTGACCACCAGAGGCAAACTCATGAACCTGCTTCCCAATCTCAACCCAGCTTAATCCTGGTTCTTTTCTCACCTTAGAGGCTCTCATTTCCTTCCTAATCGAGCCAGCTTCAATAAAACTACCACCTGAGGAATATATGTTTGACATTTGTACATATCCCAATGAATTTTTAGGCTGTAACTCCTTAAATTTATCAGCTGCTAGTTTGGCCACGTGAATTTCACCATGCTTCCGGCAAGATCCAAGTAATGAACTCCAAATCACAGAATCAGGTTTCATTGGCATTTTACGTATCAACTCCTCAGCCTCAATTATCTTCCCAGCTCGTCCATAAAGATCAACCATGCAGGAATAATGGTCTAGTTGAGGAACAATACCGTGATCACCAGACATAGAGTTAAACAATTTCACTCCTTCATCAACCAGTCCAACATGACTGCAAGCTGAGAGAAGCGCAACGAAGGTTGAAGAATCTGGACGAACATTCATTTGCCGTAAGAGCTCCAGTGCATCTTTAGCTTGCCCGTGTATGGCATAAGACTTGAGCATTGAATTCCAGGAAACCAAATCACGGTAACACATTTCATTGAATACTTGTTTAGACAATGCTAAGGAACCACACCTGGCATAAGCATGTATCAAGGCATTAGAAAGAACTGTAGCTTCCTGAAACCCTTTTTTAATTACTTGTGTGTGAATGGCCATGGCATGCTTCTCAGTCACTAAGTATGCACAAGCTTTTAAGGCAATTGAGAATGTATGCCAGTCTGGCAAAAAATTTTCATGATGAAGTTGACAGAAAAGGAGGAAAGCCTGCTCAGGATCCCGTTCTGCAAACACAGAAATAAGAGCAGTCCATAACACAATATCCTGTTGGCCACTTGTTTCAAGGAAGATCCTATAACAGTCAGAAATGTGTCCTCCAAGATTTGCATAGGATTTCATCAATGCTGTTATCACTTCAATTTCTGAAATAAGCCCACTTTTAATAGTGAGACAGTGCAATTGAAAACATTTCCTAAGATGTATGTTAATGTCATCAAAATCACTACATTCATTCAAGGAAGAGAAGACACTAAGTAGTGTGGGGCGGTCAAACTCAATTCCATTGCAGTACATGTGTGTAAACAGGCAAATGGCTCTGTCCCCAAGTCCACAAAATTGAAAACCTGCAATCATTGAATTCCAAGATATGAGATTTCGGAACTTCATTGCCTTGAACACGGTCCAGGCATCATCTGCTGTCTGATTATAACCTCCAGGGGAACCAGAGCACTTGCTATACATTGTAATAAGAGCATTTGCAACATATACATTGGCATCCAATGAAATTTTCAAAGCAACTGCATGTACCTGCATGCCACATTTAATGTCATGGCCCTCGCACGCGCTAAGCAAACTTGCAAAAGCAAATTCATTGGGGCGGAAACAAGTCAACAAACCAGAGAAGAGAGAGAAACACTCTCGGATTAGACCAGATTGTGCATATCCTGAAATGAGAGCAGTCCAAGAAACAATATTTCTATGTGACATTTGATCAAACATGTAATGGGCATAGACTAAGTGGCCACACTTGCAGTACATATTTATGATGTGATTAGTGACAAAGAGATCATTTTGAAATGTGGGATCTTTGTGAAGCATGTAATGGTGCAGAGCCATTCCTTGTTGGAGGCACTTTTTCTGAGCACAAGCATGGAACAGAGATGCATAGTTTTGAAGGGACAGAGAAGAGTGGGTGTAAAGAAGTGAAAGAGCTTCTTCAATGTTGCCTTGCGTGGAAAGAGCACGTATCTGTGCATCAATGTTTGTGATTATGGTTTCTAGTTCTGCACTTGAAGTACTAAGGTTCCGTAACAAACAACATTTGGAGAACACACAACGCACAAGCTTGCTGGAGCATAGCATCGACGCTGTGAAATTACTCGCACAAAGTACCATCGTGGCTTGTTTTGCATAGTTTGTTCATCAATGATCGTTGGCTTGTATATTTCATTCCATGCAAGAAATAAGCCAATAACGTCTTTGGATTATAAATACATAATCAGTTTAACAGTTCAATTATAATTATCAAGTAAATTAATGAAAATTATTTCTGTATTGATCAACAGGTTTTGAACTAGATGATTTTTAAGAAAACCACACTAACCCTTGTTGGTATTCAAGTCATTAATTTGAGAAATAACCAATCATTCAACTAGTTATACACACAAGTTTGTAATTCATTATACAATGTAAAAATAGCACTACTCGTGTATAAATCCACACGCCTTGGTTGAATCAATTGCTTATATATGTTAAAAAGAAAGGCTTGTTTAATCTAATAACTAAACTGTGTATATTTGAATTCTTCGAGAGTAAATTATTGCTTTCCCACACAAGGACATTCTTTCCAGTATAATAATGCCTATAGAAAAAAGTTTAACCGAACAGAAAAAGGAAAATTACATGAATATGATTTGTATTTCTTTCAAGTATTCTTTTGCATCATCAAATAATACAATACTCGGGTACACAGCTTCACAGGAACATTGGTTTGAGTGAGAGCACTAGCATTGGTAGTTGAGCAATCCTTGATAGGAAAGACAGCCATCTTGCCTGAGCTTAAATACTCTCTGAGCACAAGACCGCTGAAACTCTCAACTAACTTCTGGCTAAGAAGAAATTCCATAAAACAATACAGTGCAAACTTTGAGAAAATATGTCTCTGGTTGATGTTAAACTTCAGGAATCCATACTCATTGAACACTAACTACTGTGTCCTAGTGTCTCTATTCTATCTCTCAACATCAATGTGAGAAAAAGCAGATCACACAGATGAGCCTAACAATGTTACAAGAAAATATACATAATGTCTCATCTTGACTGCCTAATCTTGCTTTTTATATGTTAAACACAGAGCACCTTCCCCATCAACATCATTCATGTACCAAGAGTCTTGCAAATGAAGATAGAGGAGCAGACGATTGTCCCGGGTATCCTGATTTAAATTGTCATACCAATCTGTCTGAGGATCCCAAATTCCCATCGAATAATTAGCCAAGGATGGGACATTATTGCATCTTTTGCAGCCAATAACACCCTACCCAATATCATGGCCAATCACCTGAAATGACCAATATCACAGGACGAACCTTCTTTAGGAATCTCCAGGAAAGGAAATATCATCTCATAAATGGATGAAATTAGCAACTACTTAACAAACCCCAAATGTCCTTCTCAATCCTTGTTCTAGTATCTTTCAGCCCTTTTAATCTCTCATAAATGGACACTGTCTCCATAAGCTTTCTAGAAATGACAAACATAAAACACTGCCCTTTCAACACTCTAGACAAGAGGGATCTCAACCTGAATCATCTCTCATCTCTGCTTCACTGGCAAAGGAAGACATTGAAGAAAATATCAGTTTTCTTTCATTAAACGCCTCTCCAGCTAACTAATCCAGTACATATCATCAAATCCAATAACGAAAAACTTTAGAAAGCTCCCCATGGAATCGGCAATGCTCATTCAATTTCCAAATGATCATGAACCAGTGATCGGCTACCACAGTCCCTATTAAGTTTGTAATGAGATCCTTTGTTCAAGAACCGTTAATGCAGCTTGTAACATCTGTCTAGCTTTTCTATCAGGAGTGCATCCATCATACTCCATTTCCTTGTAGATAATGGGAACCTGATTATAATATTATCAGAAAGAATTAGGCAACTAGATCTTACAGCATGCGTTTCTTCCTCTGTTTACATAGAAATTACATATTATTGAAAAAGTATTAAAAACAACTTCATCTTGCAAAAGAAAAAGACAAAAAAATAATTGAAGAATTCACAGCACCTCATCAAATTTTTTGGCCCTTAAGAAAGCCTTCATAAGCGTAGTGTAGGTGACCACATCAGGGCTAGCACCCTACATAAAGTTATAGAAATAACATCAGAGATTGAAAAAGAAATATTGCATTAATAAAAACGCTGATGATATTTCCACTGCAAACTAATTAGCCTTACAGTTTCTTTTATATGGTGATAAACAGACATTGCTTCCATACATCTCCCAGCATTACCAAATGCATTCATTAGCATATTGAGCATAACAATATTTGGTTCAATTCCCTCCACTTCCATGATCTGCAGCACCTTAATGGCTTGTTCACATAAGCCCTAACAAGAAAACAAATAAGTCATACCCAATACTAACAATCTTAAAGAAACAAAGCAAACAAGCATCTCTCTGTTTTTCCCTTTTTTTTCTCGAGTAATAACATTACTCTTCTTAAATGGTCCAAAATAGTTGAACTCTTCAAAAATTGTTTCATTATAGTATTAACATTATTGGTTGTTAATCTTAACATGTACCAAGTAAGTATTAAAAAAAAATATCATGAATAATCCAAATTAAAACAGGTATTCGTTTCGTATCAATAGAATATCTGATATGACACAGATATGTGGACACGGTATATAGCATACCACAAGTATTTTTCACCATTTAGGTGTATAAGTATGGCATCAGATTGTTGGGTCCAAACCAATTGGGCCTCCACTAAAGACATACCAGAGAAGGAGGGGTAAAATAGGAAAGGTGAGCAAGGAGGCCGTTATGCAAGATTCTAACAGATTAACAAATGGAGTACATGGCAAGAATGAGAGAGAAGAGGGGTGACTGCAGCAAAGGAGAAGGACATATGGAAGATAGATAGAGGGGAGAAGGTAGGAAATATTTGGGAGGTTATTCGGGATGGCTACTACCATAGGAAAGCTTTATTTCATTCATCAATATCTCTTTTTCTGTTATTACCTAGCTATTTTGCTTGTACGTCCAGGGTTATTTCTTGAGTTTGTTCTGTTACTACAATTATACATTTAGTTCCTATCAAGCTGGTATCAGAGCTCCCGATCATGGGAGCGCCAGATGGTAATGACACGAATGGAGAATCGATTGAAGAATGTCAAGCGTCGATTAGAGGGCATGCAAGCTTCCATTCAGGAAGAGTTTCGGAGGCAAATGTATGAGATGATAACGGTGATAACAGTGATATTCGAGACAGCCTTGCGGATGGTTTGAACGGAGATGGAAGGTGAGAATAGTAATCAAGAAGTAGGCAACAGAGCGGGAGATGCCTGGAGAAGGGAGGAACGGGTGAGGCGGGTGGAGGTACCATACTTTGCTAAAGATGATCCCTATGGGTGGATGTACAGAGTGGAAAGGTATTTTGAGAAAAATAACATCCCTAAAGCAGAAAAGGTGGACACGGCAGTAGTTTGCTTAGAGAGAAAAGCGCTCAATTGGTATCAATGGTGGGAACTAAGAGTTCTGACGCCCACGTGGCCCATTTTTTGGCAAGCTCTATTGGGCTGTTTCAGGTCGTTGTTGTTAGAGAATCCTTACGAAGCTTTAATGGGATTAAGGTAGAGGGGGACAGTGATTGAATACAGGGAACAGTTCGAGCAGTTCTCTGCCCCCCTTCGTTTTGCCGACAAGGAATTTATGATAGGGGCATTCCTTAATGGCTTGAATGAGGAGATCAAAGCAGAGGTAAGGTTGCGAGACTCTGGAGACTTGAGTACGATCATGGAGTTGGCACAAAAGTTAGAAGAAAAGAACAGGGTGTTGGGCCTTTCTTATATGGGCCATCTGTGAGGGTAAGCAGGTCAATGGGTCTTAAGCAACATTGGGCCTTAAGAGGAGGGGCCCAAGAGTGACTAAAACGAATTGGGCGGAGAAAGTGGAACCCAACTCATCCTCGGGGTTTAGGACCCTAGCTCGCCCTAATAGAAGTCGGTCAAGGCTCAAGGGACCACAATAGCTCATGGGATTCTTTCATAGCGAGCTCAAATCGCGGAGGTCTAGGATTTAAACGGCTGAACAAAGAGGAGGAAAATGAAAAAAGAAAGAGAGAGTTCTGCTTTCACTACAACAAAAGATTTACGTCAGGCTATATTTGCCACAACAAACAGCTACACATGGTCTTGCTGGGAGAACAGGAGGCGAACCAGGGTGGAGTGTCCATGGAGGAAGAAAACGAGGAGGAAGTGAACCTTCAGTTGAACGCGAGCAGTATTGCAGGGATGACCTCCAAGAATTCATTAAAGTTGTGGGGGACCATTTTGGGCAAGAAGGTGATTGTAATGGTAGATTACGGCGCATCCTATAATTTCGTATCCCCGGGATTGGTAGAGGAGCTGAATATACCAACAGAAGCTACAAGAGGATACTTCGTCGAGGTAGGAGATGGGCAGAGGTTGGGAAGCCAAGAGGTTTGTAGGGGCGTGGTATTGGAACTACCCAACTTACAAGTAGTTCAGAACTTTTTCTTATTTGACTTGGTAGGAGTGGATGTGATTTTGGGGTACAAATGGCTCAAAAGCTTAGGTAAATTCAATGCTGACCTGCGACAACACTTGATTGTGCACAAAGATGGAAGGGTTATTGAGATAAAAGGGGATGTAGAATTATTCTGGATAGTGGCTTCATTAAAAGCCATAAGGAAGGAGCTAAAAAGGGAAGCTGAGGCGTATTATGTGGAGTTGGGCATGTTACTATGGGTTGCACAGAATTACCCACTCAAGTGCCAGCAACAGCTCCAGAGGCTATGAAGACTCTATTAGGGGAGTTTAGTGAATTGTTTAAGGAGGGAACAGCCCTTTCACCAAAAAAGGAATGTGACCATGCCATTGTTTTGAAAGAGGGAGAAACAATTCCTAACATTTGCCCTTATCGACACCTTTATCACCACAAGGAAGAGATTGAAAAATTCATAAGGAATATGCTGGCAGCAGGAATGATTAGACTAAGTACAAGTTCCTATTCTTGCCCGTTGATTCTAGTTAAGAAAAAAAACAGGAGTTGGCGTTTTTGTGTGGATTATCATGCTCTTAATAGTATCACCATATCGAAGAGTTGTTGGATGAGTTAGGAGGGGTCATAATCTTTTCTAAACTCGATCTGAAATCAAGCTACCACCAAATATGTATGAGGCCAAAGGACATCCCTAAACTGCCTTCTGGACACACGAAAGGCACTACGTGTAGGTGGTAATGTCATTTGGGTTAACCATTTAGGAGGAATTTGATCTGCTTCAGGCCATATTTTCACATTTCAACTTTGAGGACAAGGTTCCTCTCAATGGGGAGAGTATTGTTGGGTCCAAACCAATTGGGCCTCCACTAAAGACATACCAGAGAAGGAGGGGTAAAATAGGAAAGGTGAACAAGGAGGCCCTTATGCAAGATTCTAATAGATTAACAAATGGAGTATGTGGCAAGAATGAGAGAGAAGAGGGGTGAGTGCAGCGGAGAAGGATATATGGAAGATAGATAGAGGGGAGAAGGTAGGAAATATTTGGGAGGTTATTCGAGATGGCTGCTGCCATAAGAGGAGCTTTATTTCATTCATCAATATCTCTTTTTCTGTTATTACCTAGCTATTTTGCTTGTACATCCAGAGTTATTCCCTGAGTTTGTTCTGTTACTACAATAATACATTCAGTTCCTATCACAGATACAAATAGGATACCAGAACATCAACTATTTTGAAAAATACTATATGTGCTTCTAATATAAATAATTATAACCAATGAGAAGGTTGGAACAAAAGGAACAAGAGAGAGGAAATAGCATACCTGCTGAGCATAAGCATTTGCTAATGCACAAAAAATGCTCGGAGAAACTAGCACACCTTCGGACTTTAGTGCCTGTACACACTCCTCAGCATTCTGAAATTTCCCATATTGTCCATAAATATCAACCAAAACAGCATAAACAGCCCCATATTCTTTATTTCCCCTAAATTTCATGCTTTCAAAATATTTCTTTATTATGTCCCACTTTCCCTGTTCCCCCAAGCAGCTAATGATGGTGACAAATATCTTAGGGTCTGGATACAATCCTTGCTCTTGCATATCAGTAAACAAATTAAAGGCTTTCATGAAATCACCCTCTTTGCAGTGCCACTTAATCAGTGAATTCCAAGTCACTATATTTGGCCTTACACCTTCATTTTGCATTTTCTGAAACAACTTCAATGCCTCATCCAATTCACCATATTTGCCAAAGGTATCAATAATACTGTTGCAAACATGCGTGTCTAAAGGAATCCCCCTCTCTCTAATCTCTTCCAAAATCTCTATTGCTTTCTTCCACATCCCATTGTCCCTATAAATCCCAACAATCCTGCTATACACAAACGAGTTAAGTCTAAACCCCTTTTGTTTCATCTCATTGATTGTTGACCAGGTATCTTCCAACCTTCCAGCACCAACATAGTAGTCTAGAAAAATCTCGTATGTCTCTTGACTCCTCCATATGCCTAAGTCATTCATTTCCTTCAAGAGCCCATTTGCAAGTCCTAACAGACCTTTCTTCAAGAACCCTCTAAGCAAACTGTTGTACAAATTCAATTTGGGTCTAAACCCACAACAAATCATTTCTTTAAACAACATATCAGCCTCTGAAGTCCTTCCAACATTACCAAGGGCCTGAATCAGACAAGCATAAGATGATGAACTGAGGTGAAACCCCTGAGCTTCCATTTGCGCAAGAAGAGACATGGCTCTATCCAAGTCTCCTCCTTTGCAACATTCACAGATTAATTGGCTGTACAAATCACTAGAAAGCTCTTCATCCTTTCCAAGTCTCTCACCACACTTAAAAAGCATGTTTTTGCTATCAAATTCTGGACCCACTTCCTTTACACCCTTGTTTCTAACGCATCGATTTGAGGAACTAATAAAGTTGGGTTTTTTACTACACCGGGTGACAAATGCACGAGAGAAGCAGAGATGAGGGTGACCAATATTGTATGATAATGGAATTTGTATAGAGCAGTAAACGGACTGCATTTTCATGCTATGCTACTATTTTCTTGTGTTGTTTCTGTTACAGACAAGCATCAAAATTCAAACGCAATCATATTTTCAGAGAATGGAACCAAACATAACAGAACAAGTGTCAAAAAAAAAAAAAAAAAAATCTATGGCTTCAACATTTGGCGTTATGTTCGGAGTAATATGAGCTTCTGTGCTACAATATCTTAACTGGCTGGCCGGCCAAGTCGGGTTTGCCCGACCTGTTTATGACCGGGTCCAGGTGACAACTTTTCTTAAACCATTAATCATTTTTATTCAATCAAAATATCCTCATCATTGAAAATTTTCAGTATATAAAACTTTATTAATTAGTCAAAATAATTTAATTTTCAATTTAAGCACCACGGTTGCTTGTTTCCCTTTTGCTCAAATTCCAACCTTTTTACCTGTTGCAAATTTTTGTTTTTTTTACTAATTTTTAATCATTAAATTATATATAGATAAATATTTGAATAATTTAAAATTTATCGTATCAAATTATAAAAGCTTAAAAGTAAAAAGTTTGTCAATTTTATAAAAACTAAATATACACTTAAGGTTGTACAATTTATATATAAATTAATAAAATAGCACATTTTAAAAGTTATAATATTTATGTTTTAATTTTTAAAATATTTTGTAAATTAAAAATATTGAAATATTAGATAGTTAAATAAATTATTTTAAAGAAATTTTTTTAAAAAAATTAATTATAAAAATTTAAAAAATCAGTTTCATTTTATTCATACAAAACTCAATCTTACTCTTAAACTCACTACTTTTCATTTTTCTTTCTAAAGTTAATTCAAATATTTTTTTTTTGTATTTTTCCCAATTAGTTAAATATATTCTGTTATTAAATTTAAAATCTAAAATCTAAAATCTAAAAAATATATATCCAAAATAAAAAATAAAATAAAATAAAGTAATCTTTAGTTAAAATAACATTCTTTTTGTATTTAAATGTCATCAATAGCACTTTATTTTTGTCTCATAGCCTAAATAATGTACAAATTTGATTTTTAAATCTAACAATATAAATAATTATATATTTTTTTAAAATAAAACTAATTAAATTTAATAACATTATATATTCATCTCAATTTTATCAATAAAAAATAACTTAATGAAATTAAAATAAAGATAATAGCATATTTTTAACTAGATAATAACTTTTCTTAAATCAATTAATCACTTTTATTCAACCTAAATATATTGAACATATAATTTCAAGCATATAAAATTTTATTAATTAGTCAAACTAATTTAATTTTAATTTAAGCGCTATAATTGTTTATTTTTTCTCTTGTTCAAATTGAGACTCATGACTCTCTCTTTCTTTTTTTTACTAGGGTTTTAAAATTTTAAATTTTTATTGAATCATTTTAAATTTATCGTATAAAATTAAAAAAGCTTAAAAATTAAGTTCGTCAATTTTATAAAAACCGAACATACACTTAATCCTTCTTTAAAAATATTGTTAATCCAAAAATGAAAAAATAGAACCATAAGAAGAAGTGGACATATCTCTCATCCCGCCACGCCAAGCAAAATACCTGTTTTCCTGGATAACGAAGTGGTTCTCAAACTGGCATTCTGTTTGGCCTACAACCCAATCCCACTCTGTTTTCCGCATTGCTCTGCCCTTTCCATAATTGAAACGATAAATGTTGCAGTCTGGAAAACATATTATACACCACTTGCAATTGCAATAGAGACACATGCTCAGCTGAACAAACATGTCTGTCTCTGTCTCAGGTTCAGGATTGCTTAGTTTTCCCTCAGTTCAGCGACCACCCTCCAACTCTCCACTCACACCCGCTGCACTTCCTTCCTCTTCAGCTTCCACTACTATCCACGATGATGATACTGAGAACGATTCCTCTTCACAACCCAATACTGTTAAGACTCTCAAGTTTACCTATAGCAGAGCATCGCCTTCAATCAGATGGCCACATCTCAAACTGTCCGAAATGTACCCTTCTACGCATACCCACTTGCCTCAAAACGATGTTTCCTCCATCAAGCCTCCACCTTCCCAAGTCCCAGAGGAAACCCACAAACCGGGTCGTTCCGTGAACGACGAAGCGCAGGAAACTCTGGGGAGGCGTAGCAAGACAAGAGTGAAAAAGATGAACAAGTTGGCACTGAAGAGGGACAAAAATTGGAGGGAGAGAGTGAAGTACTTAACGGATAGGATTCTGGGGTTGAAATCTGAGGAGTTTGTGGCTGGTGTCTTGGAAGAACGCAAGGTTCAGATGACACCAACTGATTTTTGCTTTGTGGTCAAATGGGTTGGTCAACAAAGTTGGCAACGGGCACTTGAACTGTATGAATGCTTGAATTTGAGGCATTGGTTTGCACCCAATGCGAGGATGGTTGCTACCATGTTGGGTGTGTTGGGAAAGGCTAATCAAGAAGCACTTGCTGTTGAAATCTTCACAAGGGCTGAATCAACCGTGGGGGACACGGTTCAAGTGTACAATGCCATGATGGGTGTTTATGCGCGAAATGGTCGCTTCAGCAAGGTCAAGGACCTGCTTGATTTAATGCGTGAGAGAGGGTGTGTGCCGGATCTCGTGAGTTTCAATACTTTGATTAATGCCAGGATGAAGAGTGGTGCAATGGAGCCTAATTTGGCTATGCAGCTTTTGAATGAAGTGAGGAGGTCTGGTATTAGGCCTGATATAATAACTTACAATACCCTTATAAGTGCTTGCTCAAGAGAGTCTAATTTGGAGGAAGCTGTTGCCATTTTTAACGATATGGAGTCTCAACGTTGTCAACCTGATCTTTGGACTTACAATGCTATGATTTCGGTGTATGGTAGATGTGGGTTTCCTAAGAAAGCCGAGCAGCTGTTTAGAGAATTGGAGTCTAAAGGGTTTTTCCCTGATGCTGTAACATATAATTCTTTGTTGTATGCCTTTTCAAAAGAAGGAAATACAGAGAAGGTAAGGGATGTTTGTGAGGAAATGGTGAAAAAGGGGTTTGGCAAGGATGAAATGACATACAACACTATCATACACATGCATGGGAGGCAGGGCCGGTGTGATCAGGCATTGCAGCTTTACAGAGACATGAAGTCTTCTGGCAGGAATCCTGATGCTGTTACTTATACTGTTTTGATAGATTCACTTGGGAAAGCTAGTAAGGTCGTGGAAGCTGCAAATGTAATGTCAGAAATGTTGGATGCGGGGGTTAAGCCCACTTTGCACACATATAGTGCATTAATTTGTGCTTATGCAAAGGCTGGAAAGCGAGTAGAGGCTGAAGAGACATTTGATTGCATGCGTAGGTCAGGAATCAAAGCTGATAATCTAGCATACTCAGTTATGTTGGATTTCTTTCTGAGATTCAATGAGATGAGAAAGGCAATGATGTTATATCAGGAAATGATTCATGAGGGTTTCACACCTGATAATGGTCTCTATGATGTCATGCTGCATGCACTTGTTAGGGAAAACATGTGGGATGTCATTGACAGAATTATTAGAGATATGGAAGAACGGAGCAGTATGAATCCTCAAATTATTTCATCTGTTCTTGTGAAGGGGGGATGTTATGATCATGCTGCTAAAATGTTGAAAGTTGCCATCAGCAATGGCTATGAATTGGATCATGAAAATTTTTTATCTATCATGAGTTCATACAGCTCATCTGCTAGATATTCAGAAGCATGTGAACTTCTTGAATTCTTGAGAGAACATGCTCCAGATGATATTCAAATGATCACAGGAGCACTCATCATCATACTTTGCAAGGCTAAAAAGTTAGATGCAGCCTTGGAGGAGTACAGAAGTAAAGGAGGACTTGGTTCATTTAAAAGTTGTACTATGTATGAATCTCTTATTCAGGAATGTGTACAGAATGAACTCTTTGACATAGCTTCACAGATTTTCTCTGACATGAGATTCAGTGGTGTTGAGCCATCTGAATGTGTGTACCAAAGTATGGTGTCTGTCTACTGTAGAATGGGCTTACCTGAGACAGCCCACCATTTGTTGTATCATGCAGAGAAAAAAGGTCTAATGCTTGATAATGCATCTGTTTATATTGATATTGTTGAAACATATGGGAAGTTAAAGGTATGGCAAAAGGCAGAAAGCTTAGTGGGGAGTCTTAGGCAAAGATGTTCGAAAGTGGATAGAAAGGTGTGGAATGCTTTAATAGATGCTTATGCATTCAGTGGTTGTTATGAGCGAGCTAGAGCTATTTTTAATACAATGATGAGAGATGGCCCTTCTCCAACCGTAGATTCCATAAATGGTCTATTACAGGCTTTAATTGTTGATGGAAGACTAAATGAGCTCTATGTGGTAATCCAGGAGTTGCAGGACATGGGGCTCAAGATCAGTAAAAGTTCTATTCTTTTGACGCTTGAAGCATTTGCTCAGGCAGGAAACTTATTTGAGGTGCAGAAAATATACAATGGAATGAAAGCTGCTGGTTATTTTCCCACCATGCATACTTACAGAATTATGATTAGATTGTTGTGCAAATGCAAAAAAATAAGGGATGTAGAAGTCATGTTGTGTGAGATGGAAGAGGCAGGATTCAAGCCTGATCTTCCACTTTGCAATTCTATGCTTAAATTATATTTAGGTATCGAAGATTTTAAAAGCATGGGTATTATTTACCAGAAAATTCAAGATGCTGGTCTTAAACCAGATGAAGAAACCTATAATACATTAATTATAATGTACTGCAGAGACTGTAGACCAGAAGAAGGTTTATCATTGATGCAAAAAATGAGAAGCCTTGGTCTGGAGCCTAAGTCAGACACATACAGAAGCTTGATTGCAGCATTTAGTAAGCTACAACTGTATGAACAGGCTGAGGAACTTTTTGAAGAGCTTAGATCAGATGGTTATAAACTGGACCGCTCTTTTTATCATTTAATGATGAAAATGTATAGAACTTCTGGGGATCATCTGAAAGCTGAGAATCTACTGGCTATGATGAAAGAATCAGGGATAGAGCCCACTATTGCCACCATGCATTTGCTTATGGTTTCTTACGGTAAATCTGGGCAGCCTGAAGAAGCTGAGAAAGTCCTTAAAAACCTGACAACAACAGGCGTTGTTATGGATACTCTACCTTATAGCTCTGTTATGGATGCATATCTCAAAAAAGGATATTTTGAAGCTGGAATTGAAAAGCTCACGGAGATGAAGGAAGCAGGCATAGAACCAGACCATCGAATATGGACGTGCTTTATCAGAGCTGCAAGCTTGTCTGAGGCAGCAAATGAAGCCATTATTCTTTTAAATGCACTCGAAAGTGCTGGGTTTGATCTCCCAATAAGGTACTGATTTGTTCTTATTGTTGTTATTTTTTTATGCCAAAAGATTAGTATTTATTGTCGTTAAGAGGAAGCACAGGTTTGCGTTCATATTTGCCCAGTTAACGATGTATACTAATTGTTATACAGGCTTCTAAGAGAAAAATCCGAGTCACTAGTTTCAGAGGTTGACCAATGTCTCGAGAGACTAGAACCTCTGGAAGATAACGCAGCCTTTAACTTTGTCAATGCTTTGGTGGATCTCTTGTGGGCATTTGAACTCCGGGCTACTGCATCATGGGTTTTCCAATTAGCAATCAAGAGAAGCATTTATCGCCATGATGTTTTTAGGTAGCTATTATTGGTATTTTCCCATAGTTCTTAACTGTAGTGTACTTTGGAGGAAGTTGTGAGAACTGCTTAGACAGCATCTCTCGTATCACAATTTTCAACTGTAGTGTTACTGGCTCTGTTAGGTTGCTTATTGCCTGTATCAATCAATTGCAGGGTTGCTGATAAGGACTGGGGGGCTGATTTTAGAAAACTATCTGCTGGATCAGCTCTTGTTGGTCTTACGTTATGGCTTGACCACATGCAGGTGACATCTCTTACCCTAAGTTACTTTCAAAATTGTCAATGGTTTTTCACTTCTAAGGTTCAAAGTTTTATAAATACATGCTTTTACATAGGTTGCTATTTCCACTGTGAATATAATTGACAAATTTTGAGTTGTGCGCAGCTTACAGTTATGTCCCCTTAATTTATATGATAAAGATATGCAAAGCCACCATTTTGACTTTATTGTTAAACCCTTAAGCCTGGATGTTAGCTCAAAACTTAGTCACGTGCCTCCCATTAACAGCCTAATCTTCTGTCTTTAATGTACAATTACTATCTAACATTATTTCAAAATGTAAAATAATTACAACATAAATGGATTCACTATTTGCATTTGTTGCTTGGGCAATCTTTCTTAGAATCATAGTAGTAGACATTAAAATCGCTTGTTATATAAGATCGACAGCATTATTATTATTATCATATTAATTCTACAAAGACCACCCAGACTTGGGTATCCATTTCTGACCCCGTTACCGACCCAATCTTGTTGCATTTTTACGTTCTGTTTTCCACACTTTTGTTTTATTTTTTATATATTAAAATTTGGGTGCAAAGAAAGTTGACTGGATTCAGGTTGAGTTTTGGGTCATTGCAGTATGAGCCATAAACATTGTCATCATTGATAACAAATATAATGTTCATCATTTAATTAGCTCTGGTGTTTGATTGACCTTAACATTGGAACTTGGATGTCATGGCAGGATGCCTCCTTGCAGGGATATCCAGAGTCACCAAAATCAGTTGTGCTCATAACAGGAACAGCAGAGTATAACATGGTATCCCTTGATAGCACATTGAAGGCGTGCCTTTGGGAAATGGGATCGCCTTTCCTTCCTTGTAAGACACGACACGGTGTCCTTGTAGCCAAGGCTCACTCCCTCAGAATGTGGTTAAAAGACTCACCATTTTGCTTGGATCTTGAGTTAAAAGATGCCCCAAATCTCCCTGAATTAAATTCAATACAGCTTATCGAAGGATGTTTTATAAGGCGCGGCCTTCTTCCGGCATTCAAAGAAATCACTGAGAAACTGGAAATAGTTAGTCCCAAGAAATTTTCCAGATTGGCTTTATTACCAGATGAAAAGAGAAGTAAGACAATTGAAGCTTTTACTGAGGGAAGGAAAGAGAAATTGGAAAAGAGCAAGAAAATTGTTGACCCCAAACGGCTGAAGAGGATCAGAATGATCAAGAAGCTTAGGAAGAGGAAATATATTCGGGAAGCATTCCTACCAAATGCAATTGGGAAACAAAGGACTTTCAAACCAATTGGTGAAAAACGAGAAATGTAATTTAATGTAATGTGAAACACTGCGATCATACATTGTACAGATAGCATTCTGCCTGACAAACTTCAATTGTAAACAAAAAATGTAGTGACCTGTTGTTTCTAATCCATTACCAAGATAAGATGTTCATGGCATTTATCACTCACTCGAGTCAATGTTGAGATACATGATGTAGTCCAAGAGAAGAGAGAAAATGAGATTTCTATTATTGGAAAAATGTGAGAGATTACAAATGAGTCACAAATGTGCTTTATATAAAGGGTAAAACTGTGATATTTGTAACATTTTTATGTGTACATTTTTTTTCTCTCTCTCTTTCAGAACCTGAATTGCATTGTTAGGACAAAAATAATAATAGTGGTAGTTCGTTTCCTTTAAATTCAAATCAAATCATTCTCAAGCGTATGGTAACTAGTAAATAGTTATTAGAATTATTAATTAAACATGAAATGATTCTTGAAAGTTTTAATATTGCAAGCTAATTTCTATAAAGGACGGGAAAATTTATATAATATCATGGTATCTGTCCAACTTCTAGATAGTTTTTATGTATGACTTGGATATAGATAATAGATAACGCAAAAATTCAGAGGCAAACATAATAATGCAAATGAATTCAAGAAGCGTTTCAGTTGGGGGCCCAAACCCAAATACTTCGTTGAGCCCATTTCATATATTGGCTAAGCTACCAAACTAAACCTCTTTTTCTATTATTGATCGAAAAAAAAAAAAAAAAAAGACCTCGCTACCAGTTGTGGATGGATTGGATTGCAAGTCCCTAATCTGATCTTCATCGCTTGAATTTCGATCCGAATTGTTTCATTTCATTTAATCGGTTCGTCCCTTTTGAGTTTGAGGTAACCAATGGTTTTATCTAATTGAGATAATATTGTCTATAAAATGTTTGATGAAATGCCTCGTAGAATGCTTTGCGATTGTGAACGAACTCAACTAATCAGTATTGTTGTTTTTCTTTGTGGAAAGAATTTACCTGAAAGCACAAGAATAAAGTTGCAATGGGAAGCTACAAAGGACAAAGGCTTTCTGGGATGCAAAAGCAGGTACTTAGCTTATACAGAGGATTTCTACGTGCTGCACGTTCAAAATCGGAAGAGGAACGACGCAAAATAGAGTCAACAGTATCACAAGAATTTCGTCGTAATTCAAAGGAAGTAGATCGCAAAAATTTTCTCTATATTGAGTACTTACTTCGCCGTGGTAACAAACAGCTTGATCAGCTTAGGAACCCTGGTACCACTGGCTTATCTTCTTTGCAACTTCATTCCTCCAAAACCGATTAAATCACATTCACCCTTCCGGTCTGCGTTAAACATTCAAATATAATGTTTATCATTACAGTTCCGAATTCTTATGCGCCGGATAATCTCAATTTGTTAATTCCAAATAATTTATTGTTGATATGCTTACCTTTTTCAGTCTAAAAAAAGAAAGCAGTATGCAGCGGACTTGCGTTTGATTTTGCGCACGAAATTCCCCGTGTTTTGGCGTTATAGTAGATCAATAATAAGAGTAATGCTCAAAATGTTTATTACAATTTTCACTACAAGAGATACAAAAAGAAAAGACAAAAATAAAAATACAAGATAGGTAATATCATAGGGAAAAAATAACAAAAATTGATATTAAAAAATACAATAAAAAATATTAAATTTGTTATTTTAATGATTGAGATAATAAGCACAAATTATTTTAATTTTAAAAATGTCACGTTAGCATATAAATTTTATTTTCATTCGACATTTTAGTCGTTAGATTCGAATACTATTAATAGATTATAATAGACATTTTAACCTTGAAATTGTCACTTATTTAAATACTATTTACATTTTATTTCAATACTATTTAACTTTTGTATACATAAAAATGCAAGATGTCTTTTCGAGTCACTATACTTACTTTTCTGTTATTAAAATTTGTTCAAGCATGTGTAAGATCTTTAAAAGAAAGTCAGTTCATAGGTCCACATTCAAGTACAATGTGGAATATGATATCTTCGTGGACACCAATTTGTTACAATGCTCATAAGGTGTTTGATCAAATGTTGTAAATAAATTTAGTTTCTTTGACTGTTATAGTTATATGGTATGTCACTAGTAAGAATGTTGTGAAGGTGAAGTTATTTAATGATATGTCACGAAGAAATGTAACTTCTTGTAATGCAATGACATTAGAGTTTGTGAAGGTGGAAAATTTGAGTTAGGTAGGATGTTTGATATTATGTCTAACAAATATTTTTTTTACCACCATAGTTGATGAATATGTGAAGGCAAATGATATGACGGTCTTAAGGTTCTTGTTTGAATAAACTACGAAGAATGATGTTCTTGTTTTATTACCATAATTGACAAGTTTGTGTTAATTAACTTGATATCTACTTCAACTCAATTGAGTTAATTAGTGTCAGATGGTATCAACTTCATCACTAGTAGAAAATGCAAATTGGCAAAGGTAACTTTCGGTGAAGAAGAAGAGAGATGGGTAAATGAAATATTCTAAAAATCAGGAACTAAAATATTTGTAAGTAATTATTTTAAAGACTAAAATAAAAATACATATCATATTATATATGACGTCGTTTTGTCTCGTAATCAATTATTCATATCACTTAATGTGACATGCGACATTCTGTTACTCTATTAACAATGTCTAAATTAAAAAACTAAAATGAAGGTTTAATCATAAAAAAATTTATAAAAGAATAACATTACTCATAAATAATTTTGTTTTTTATCTTCTAAAAAGCTAATAAATTTATTTATTCGAACAAAGGCCTCGCATATAAAAATTAGTGTCCAAAAGTATGAAATTTTATTAATGCAAACTTGAATGCATTTTAGGAGCACTATCTAATAACCAAATTTATGTTTTATTTAAAAAAAAAAAAACTTACTTGTTAGTGAACACATCTTAGAAGCACTGTCAAATGACCAAATTTATGTTTTATTTTAAATAAAAAAAACTGCTAATGAAAACATCTTATGAGCACCTATCTAATGACCAAATTTGTTTTATTTTAAAAAATGCTTGTTAGTGACAGTTTCATTTACTAACAATTTGTAACAGATTCTTATCATACACATTGCAATAGATCTCCAATACCTATTTTATTATTTAAACAAAAATATTTTATAGCATATATAATTAACTTTATACTTCCGTTTTATACTTCCTATATAGACACATCTCAAAATTAAAGAGAGAAACTTTTGCAGTACCATTTTTGTTTATACACGAAGAGATGTGTATCCTCTTTAACCATAATTTATGCTTACTTTTAGGGTGAATGCTTGGCAAGAAGCAATGAAACATAAACCGAACAAAGTCAATCCCGTGATTATAGTCCAATTGCAGCATAACCCGAGCAAAATACATCACCGATGTATAGACATGAGAAAATATGGACTCGAATTGTCGAATAATTTTCTGTTAAGATTCTAATTCTCTAATAATATTTTAGAAATCAAATCGGAGCACTAAGAAAAATTATATTTTTCACGTTTCATAAGGTAAAGCAATACAAATTACAGGAAAATTAAAAGCAAGTTACACCGAACGAAATCATCAAATTAGGACATGCTAATACTAGAGAATTTGGTGGTCAATATCAAAAACATCATCGAGGAGCACCATAAACTTGGGTGGAGTCATATTGCGGATACCCAGGCTGAGGTGACAGTGTCTTGCCATATGCAGCTGGAGCACTTGCTGGTACAGATGTATAACCAGCTGATTGTGGGTTAGACTGATCATAACCAGTTTGAGTAGGCGTGGGTTGAACATAAGCTGGCTGCCCACTTGGTGCTGCACTATATGCCGGTGCAGTGCCACTGCTATAACCTGGATCTTGGGGCGCCTGGTAGCCATAAACCGCACTACTAGGAGCTGGCTGCTCAGGGTAAGTTTGCTGTGAAGGATATGATCCATAACCAGTAGGGCCAACTTGCGCATAACTAGCTGCAGGTTGGGCACCTGGCTGGCCGTAACTGGCTTGTCCACCAGGCTGGGCATAAAGTGGGCCAGATGCAGGTGGTGGATGATTGTAGCCATCTGCAGTTGGTGCAGACCCATAAGTAGGATATGCTGCTTGTGATGGCCCAGATGATGCATATGGGTATGGCTGTTGTGTTGGCATATTTGTGCCATAAGACTGGGCAGGAGTAGAACCTTGATATGGCATGTCCCCTGGCTGAGAATGAGCAGCTCTAGGATGGCCGTAAGATTGCGGAGGCTGTCCCTGAGATGGCATGCCATATAATGGTGGCTTGCCATACTGCTGTGGTGCAGCAAAATTGGGTTGAGCACCGGCATGAGGGTAGGTTGTTTGAGAATTCACATGTCCTCCATAGGGATGTTGAGTAGGAGCCCGATTTTCAAACTTTGACTCATCATATCCATGTCCATAACCTTGTTGAGGAACTCCTGCCTGAGTATAAGGTGCCTGATGGCCATAATCCTGGCCCTGTGGCTGTCCATAGTTGTAATTGACCTGAGCTGGGTTTGGGCCCATAGAAGGTAAAGGTGAAGGACCAGCACCATGTGGGGGAGCTGAACTGGGAAGCTGAGCGGATGGTGGAGCATCAGGTAAATGACCCCCTTGCCCTCCATAATAATCATAACCACCATTGTGAGGGGGTGGCCCCTGAAAGCTGTGGTGAGGCCTTTGCTCCCAACCAGAACCAAAGCTGCTTCTTGGAGCCATATGTTGAGCATAGCTTCCATATGGCGGAGGAGCATATGGTTGATTATGAGAGGGATAAGGCCCACGATGCTGATAATCATATGCAGTTGGGTGGCCAAAATGAGAACCCCGTTGACCCCATTGGGGTGGGCCACCAGATCCACGGGGTGGGCGGTAGCCCTGCTGGCCAAAACCGCCAATTGATGGCTTGACAGGCTATTCAAGCAAAACAGAAGACAAAGTAAATAAATAGGAAAATCTTCTTAATCAGAATAATATAAGTATACGTAGATGTCAGCCAACAGCATAGTGTAATCGTCCCAATCCCATTTTTATAAAGCCAAGCCAACAGCAAATTTCCATACCCATTTTGAGAAGAACCCCTTTCATAACCATGATTAGTCAAATGCAAAATCAAGAGATTTACCTCACCCAAAAATAGTTAAGTAAAAATCTAATGGCATTAAGTCAACAGAATATACATTTATCATTGCATTGTCGTACAATTGGCACCAATGGGGCATAAACATCGAGTCATCAGAATTCTTGTAATGGATTGTACTAAACTGAACAAGAACTGGCAAAATAACAGACAGCATACTATTAAAATAACGCAATATCAATAGTGTGTCACATCTCGTGGAGCTCAATCACAGTAGTTAATCAAGTAAACACTATATACTAAAACCACACCATATGTTTTATGTTATCTCAGACAAAAGATCTCACCTTAGCAAACAAGGGAGGGAAAAAGGAGCCTGACAATGACAAAGCAAAACCCCAAATGTTCTATAAGCTAAATTCCAATCTATGAATTCAAAAACTAGCCAAAGCTAGCCAATATTACAGGAGATGGCACACTGAAGTTCAACTTCAGCCGGTTAACAACATATTGACATGTTCTATAAAAATGTTTAAAACAGAATACTGTGAAAACTGCAAACAAGAAATACATGTTGATATAGAAGGGACCAATAAATATATTGAATATGTAAAAGTTTCCTATAATCACTAATCAATCATGAAAGATAAAGACAAGAACCTCCAAAAGAGAATGAGAATGAATGCTAACTTAATTCAGAGGATCAAGCACGATAGCCCCTGCACTTTGTGACAAAGATCCACAAAAAATACATTTTAAGTATTCAATATTCAAAATTTAAGTTTTAATTAACCAACATGATCAACTAGGCAGCCTAATATTCATCTAATATGTTAGTCCGCTCAACCAAGGGTATCATCAGGTCAAAGATGTTTTAGAAAGCATGTGGATGAACACAATATACTTGCATTGATCCCTGATCATATGACTACTTTAGTTGCAATTTCCCTAACCTCAATAGACAATACACACCAGATGACATGAATTACATATTATAACATTTCTCAGTACACAACTAGAAAAATATGCAATTGCAAAGGAATACAACCCCAACATAGTTAAAATCAGACTCCATGACTTCAGGAGGTATGACTCTTTCCTTTCAAAAGGTCTCATGCAAATCACACAGCAGCTCTATTTGAGCACCAAGGCCAGCACAATATAGTCTTATTGAATCATGATTTTTAAGTCTTGAAGCAATCTTACCAACCATTAAACATCCTGCAATCTGAGGTTTTAATGCCAGCCACCTCTCTTCAATGGATGAAAGTGAATAGGTTGTCTATGCTACATCAAGAAAGCAATGCTGACCCCAGGGGAAAAGGCAATAGCCAAATCTGCATTTTTAAAGCCAACCAATTCGAAATTGGCACCTTCAAGATAAATAAATCATTGCAACTGACATCTTGGTTTACATATACGATCGTCCTAGAAGATTTAATTGACCTTGGCATGGATTATTGATCAATTTCCAAACTTACGAACACTCTCAGGTGATCAATCTCACTTCTATGGCAGCAATTGATACAATACTTCCATAAATGGATCATACAGGCATCGAATACATGGACACTTCCTTGCACATAAATCAAGTTTTGTATTGCTTTCACAAATACAATTGTGGAGCAGCACTGAACCCAAATAGAACAGACATGAAAATATGAAATGTTTGCCTAGATCCCTATTTTATACATGCACATTACATGGAAAATGTCCAGATCCCAATTTTAATGGATACCCATACACAACTAATCATTTATTTATTTACATTTTTTCCTGCATGATAGTTTCAAATAAAGTAATAAATAGACCCCATCATAATGAGAAAATTCAATCTCTCGATCACTAATGCCAAATACAAACAAACTAATGATCATACATTCAAGCAGGACTGCAAGAGTAAAACATGGCATCCTTCCACATACCACTCTAGTAGTACGTTACTAGCCCCATAAGTACTAATCAAGAACAAATAAACTTTGCAAGCAATATGTGGTGGTATTGCCCAATAACTCCACAGTGAACTGAACATGAAATAAACCTCAGTTTCCCATTCAATGAAAAGAACAAATGGAAATTGGCAAAAATATGGTTCTGGATGCAGTAACACATGATCATAAAGACTACTACAAGCCATAAAAAAAATTAGTACAATATGCTAAGCCAAATTCAACATATGCATATACATGTAAACATAAAATAATAATACAAAAAAGGATTTCAGTAAATAATTGAAAATGCAGAATCATTACCATTTATATAATAACCGTATTAAAAGAAATAAGCACCAACAATATCTGAATTTTAAAATTGTCAAACACACCTGACTCATGACTTCCTTTATCAATTCTTGTGCAATTTCAATTTGCCTTTTATCACCAGTAACTTGGACAGTTCTTTCTTTAGAATCATCCCCTTCTGGAAGATGTTGGGGTATCAACTAAATCATGTAAATAGAACATTGTCAAAATCCACAAGCTAAATCCAAAAAGGGAGGGGAATGACAGAAAAAATCAAGAAGAATCTCATCATACAAGCAGCAATCAACTCTCTCCCTCTCTCAAGTGTCAACCCTTTTGTGATGTCTTGCATATGATTTAAGAGTGATTATGAAATTATAAAACCCATAAAACTCTCATTAAAGGGGACTATGAGAAACAAATAACTAAAAATTGTAAAACTCTAAGATGCCAAACTTCTAAAAGATGTTCACACACCAAATGCTACAAAAAACTAAACAAAAACCATGATTCTGTTTTGCAAAGTAACCGAAGCAAGACTATCTGATGTCAATCTGAATAGCAAAAATAATGGCTTTGTCCCATAGTTATCAATCCATATACCAGCACAGAGCAGCCAAACCAAGAACCACTGCAATGGGATACAGGGAGAGCCAATATACAGAAGATTTTATTACAAGTTAAAAAATGCATATTAGATGTGTATAAATGCTAAAAAATTACCTAAAATTAAACACATTCGTAATTAATACTCAAAAGTCAGTCCCAAGCTAAAAACACAAGTCAATAATAAAAATAAAAGAATAAATTAGTTGAAGCCTTAATCTTAAAATATACTCAGAAGACACAGAAGAATAAGGGTGAGCAACACAGCAACAGAACAAAAGACTGAAGGCAAGACTTATACGAGACAAATAGAAGTGTGTGAAAACTGAGCTAAGCTGTAGAAGACGTGCAACAGAGCAACTGGTGGCAAGGTTTGCCCAGAAACACCAGGCTTGGCTGAAGCGATGCCAGTGACCAGTGGGTCAAAAATATTGCAACAAAACAGGGAAGGTTGAGGGTGTTTGCATGAAATACTATTAAAACAAGGGGGTTTCCAAACCCATTATTTTGATGAAGAAGTGGAGAAATAAACAACCCCAGAAAACAAATCACACAGCATAAAAAAAGGAGGGTTTAGCCCTAGTTTACAGTGGCAGCTGCAACAGCCATGACCACAGCTGTGACATTTGCAAAGCCACAACACTCCACAATGGAATTCCTCTAGTTGCCAAAGGCTGCAATAGCAGCCCTATTGTGCATCATTAACAACTAAGCTTTGTCCAGTTACTTTTGGCTGTCTTGTAACCATACAATCACAATTATTAAAAGATGAAGGGCAAATCAAAGCTTGAATATGAAGTTGATTCATTTTATTTTCCTCACAAAATATTGCCCTTATTCTCTCTATTTACATGTGCGGACTATGATCTCTATCTATTGTAATTTGTAAATGTATAATATTTTGAGGACACACGTATCTCTATTTTTCTGTTTTTGAAACCTATTCTTATCAAAATTATGCATTCCAATGTCATTAAGTCTATTCAGACATTTCCGTCATATTGGATGATCAAAGTTCAGGCAACAACTGAACAACCATAAGGTTCATGACATGAAAAACTACCAAGTAAACAGTTGCTTTGAAGTATAAGACTGCTAAATTGCCTAAAAAAAATAAGATAGCATTGAATAATTGGATTTTAAAATAACTACATGTGTTAAAAGCAAGTACTTCTCTCAATTCAAAAGTCATAACAAATTACTCTTCTACATGTATTGATATGGCAACAATCCTGTCACCATTGCTTTATTTTACAAAAATATGTAACAATAAATATTTTATGGGTAATCAAACTACTGACATTATTTTTAAAACTTTGAGCTTCAATATAAAGCTTAAAATTAGCAGGTTAATCATTTTCCAACTTAGATTAGATCCCATATGAACTAGGCATGTTTTTAGTACAAAAAGGTTCAAGGTTAACGATAACAACTACCTGGATGCGTGCCCCAGATTTGGTCTGCAGGCCTTTAATTGTTTCCCCACCTCTCCCTATGATCAATCCTACCTGCATTAAAGAAACCCATGAGGCTCAATGTTACATATGCTAACAGAAAACATGAATAATGACCTCCTTAAAAAAAACATGAATAGAGATATTATTATCTTATCACCTTTTCATTTGGAACTTGTATCTGAATTTGTTCAGATCCCACAGTAGCTTGAGCAGGGGAGAGGCCTCTAGCTACAAGTGAAGGAGAACCCCCAGCATCAGCCTGTAGAATTTCAAGAGTGAGATAATAAATGCAAGAAAAAAAAAAGGAGAACAAGAGTGAGATAATATCAAACCTCTGCAATCACAGCAGTCATTAGCTTTTCTGCCTTCTCAATACTTTCCAAACTTCCAATCAATTCCACAGATCTTGTTGTAGAGTGAGGATCAGCATCAGCATCCCTTGTGATCTGAATCTTTGCACCGGAATTATACTGCAAGTACCGTATAGTATCTCCAGCCTTGCCAATAAGTACACCAACCTGCACATGAAAACATCAGTTTAAAAAATGCTTCGAATATAATTGATAGAATGTAACTGTAATTAACAAACATGCGAGTGACTTCATTAATACTTGAAGAGGTTTTAAAGGTAGCATAAATAAGAGCAAAGAAATTATAAAAATTGAAGTTCTTAACCAAGGAAAATAGAAGGAAGATTGTTGCACTCTTGACTCTTCAATTTCCTGTATTGTTATTTATCTTTAACTCTTTCAGAGAATATCTTATCCTCCCCCTAGTTTTACTCTTACTTTCCTCTATTGCTATCTAATAAATTTAAAATTTCAATTAAAATGGGAAAAGAGTTTAGCCTAGCTGGCATTAGCCAACTGGACTAACAACATAAAAGGAATTCATAACCATGCCACCTATAACAGGATAGGCCAACCATGAGGTGTTAAAAACAAGACTGAAAGGAGGGAAGGTCCATTTTACCCTTAAAACCAAAAAAGAAAACATTGTCGGAAAGCAAAAGAGGAAAGTTGCCAATTTTTATGGAACACCACATTTGCTCCATGAAAAACACAATTCCAGCTGCAAAAAGACCCACAGCGGCAAATCTGTGGAAGCTGGCCACTGCACTACATCACTGCAATAGTGCTGCATTACCCACTATCAATAAGAATAATTAAATAAAACAACAATCAAGCCTTAACTCACAAGTTGAGCTCGGTCAAAAACCAAATTTTTAAAAATCCGATTAATCAAAAAAAAAAAAATTTAATAACTTTGTCTAAAGTTCTTTTGAGTCTCCCTCAACTTCTTTTTACCAAACTAAGAATCATGCAATCCATTCTCCTTATTGGAGCCTCCAAAGATCTTCTCTACACATGACCAAACCACCTTAAACAATTTTCAGTTATTTTTTCCACTATAGGTGCTACTCCAATATTCTCTTGTGTACTCATTTTGTATCTTGTTCTTTCTTGTGTGTCCACTCATCCACCTTAACATTCTAATTTCTATCACTCCCATTTTTTCTCATGTTATTCCTTTAAAGCTCAGCATTCACTACCATATACAATAGTTGGTAGTATTGTAATATGGTAAAATTTTCCTTTCAATATGCTAAGTACTTTGCAGTCACAAATAACTCCTAATTTCTTATTCCATTTTAACCACCCAACTTGTATTATGTGGCTAACATCTTCGTTAGTTTTCCTATTAATTTGTATAATTGATGCCAAGTACCTAAAACTGAGACTTGAGGTATAATATCATCTCCAAATTCAACTTTCAACATGATCTTCATATTGTTTTCTTAATATAGATTGTTTTCTCTCTTCAAGGAGTTAAAATTAATACCCATGAACATTTAATTTACCTACAAACTCGTGTACCACCAAAAACTCCCCACTCAAATTACAAAACAAGGCCCAGCATAAATTACAATACATAATTAAAGGAAACTATTCTCTCATAAAGAAAAGTTTGAGCTTACTAGTGTTTTACCCCCATTTAAACTTTTTTATGCCCTTATCAAGCAGCTGCACACTGCACTGAGCAGGAGACAACAAAATCCATCAGGGTTCCTCTCTTTCCTCTACTGACCCTCACATTCTAGCTCACTAGCAATTAATGAATGAAAAAAAAACTCCAATTCAGGCAAACATGATTATTTTAACCTAGAGAAGGAACAACTGGCAGTGCCCACAAGGCCACAACACAGGTGCATGTTTTGGCTATGATTTTCAAACTGGGTTCAATTCGTGAACACATTAGAGACAATACAACAAATGCACATATGTCCAACATGTAACAGATACTAGGCATACAAAAGATGAAGTAAAACTACAAATCATAACAAAGAGTATATACCCAAATTGCGTTGAGTTCGTCAAAGATAAATGTCACCCAGTGGTACTTGAAGGTGTAACATACTTGAACCCAATAATATGGATCTAAGAGTAATGAAATACCTTATTGTTAGGAACATCTATTTTCCTTGTTGTTATCTCAGACCCGGATGTTAGCTGCTTTTGTTCAGCTGCAGCATCTTGCTGAAAGCAAATACAAGAAAACACAGGAAAAAAGATAATATTTTAGAGCATTATACAAATAGGTAAAACAAAGATGCTGTTCAAATATCTATAAATCTACAATAAACGCTATTAGATTGGACACAACTCGGCATCATAATCAACACCTTATCATAGGGAACTTCCGCATTATGCAAAGGAGTGTCAGCAGAATTGGGTTGCTTATCTCCAGAAGAAGCATCTTGCTCAGTTGAATCCTGAGATGGTTGTTCAGTTTCTTTAGATGGCTCCTCAGCATTTTCCTGCCCAGAGTCCTCAACTCGAAGTTCTTTGGCATCGGCTGCCTCAGCAATCTCACCAGAAATTTGTTCATTAGTAGTTGCCTCTAAAGGATCATTGGATACAGCTTGACCATCATCTGGAGTGACATTCTCCAAAACGGATCCTTCCCCTGTTTCTTTTCCAGGTTCATCAACCTGCTCATCTTGATGCCCATTTGCATTAGCTGTCGACAGCAAAAGCAAAACTTTAACAACGCAATTCATCTTTACAAGAAAATAACCGTAAGGAGTGCTAACGATGCACACTCCAAGACACAAAAATTTTAGATGAAATTCATAGCGAGATTCCTTAAATAGGGAATGGAACCCAAATATCTCACGATTCTCAATAAATTTCAGCCAATAACAAATAGCACGTTCGTAAGAGTATGTCAAATAGAGTATTGCTAGCACTTCTAAAAGTACCATTATCATATCAAACCATTTCCTACAAACCGGTTATCACCATAGCAGTAACAATAACAACAAAACAAAAATGGTCACATGGCAAGAAAATACGTCCACCAGCAACCAATATATCACGTGCGTATTCTAATGAGTCAAAAATAGATTTATTACAGCCATTGCATAGCACGAATACTTGAGTTGGAAAACAAATTGTCGAATACAGTACCAAGGCCATCCCGGTGGTCGTCGAGACGGGGACGCTTGTTCTCAGTCTCGTCGGGAACCGCCATATCGGCGTTGTCAGCGTCGGAGTTGGAGTTGGCATTGGATTCGAGAGGGTGTTGTTCGGCAGGTTGAGGTTGAGATTGCAGATCTTCGAGTTTGCGCTTGTGATCAGAGGGAACGGGGCTAGCAGCGGGTGCCACAACTTCTTCCTCCGCCATGAGGTGTAAAAGGGAAGCGCGAGTGTGGTGATGTGAGGATGATGAGAGGGAAATGAAAATGAGTCACGAGCTCGATCCAGAGAGATATTTTTGTGTTACTGCGACACTGGTTCTGGTTTTAGGGTTACGACCTACGCTGGCCAGTCACGCACGCACGCACCTTTGGGCTAAACCCTGCAAGAATCTACGGCGCTATCAATCTATCGTGGGCTATTGGGCTTTCATATCATAGTAAAGGGGGTCCAATTAATGAAGCGGGACCAATTGGATTTTTTTCTTCGACTTCTTGTCTACCAAAAATACTGTGCCTTAAAGAATAAGACTCAAGCTAACACATGACGAGTTTGTAATGAAGTGATGCACAAATGGCCCTTTTTATATTATTAGATATATTTTTTGAAAAATAAATAACTTAGATTTTTTATATGTAATTTAATAATATCAGTATTTATTATTTAATTTTATGTAAAAATTTATAAAATTATTCATTACACCTTCAAAATTTATTATTTTATATGTTACACTTTCAAAATTTATTATTTTATATCTTTATATGATTATATTAATAAATTATTTTGTATCGTTTCCAAACAAATCTTGTATGTATCCATTAGTTAAATGGTGATTTTAAAAATGTTTGTATTAATAAGTACTTATACAGTTTTAATTTATAATAAAAGATAATTTATAGATTAATAAAATATTAAATGTCATATAAATTTTTAAAATTTCTCTCAAAATTATAACTTTCATATTTACTTTTACAAGTTTCAATTCATTATTAAAATCAATTTTAGTACTAATAAAATGTTCAGTGTCATTTTAATTTTTTCCCGTGTCCTCTTTATGTTAGTTGCATTTGATTTGCATAATTTTTGCAAATTATGTAAACAAATAAGAAAATTTGCCTTCATAATTGTTGTAATAATATTTTTAAAAGATATTTGTTTAAAAAAATACCTTTAAAGGAACTAATTTAAATATCAAATATTTTAAAATCTTTAACCTACAAAATTTATTAAAAATTAAATTATAAATATTATAACTTTTAAAATATATTATAATAAGTCATTTTGTTAATTTATTTATAAGTTATATAATACACTAATTCACGTTAGCCGTAATTAAAAAATAAATATAAGCAAACACATAGGTTAAATGAGAAATTACTCAGTTTTATATTATAAATAAAATAATTATGTCCAAAAAATATAGCATTCATTTGATTCTTTAATTAAAATTATTTTATTTTTTGATTTTGTAATAAATTTTAGAGACAATAATTCTAACTTAATTTTTTACGATCTCTTGTTCAATTATATATATTTTTATTTTAAAATAAATTACCTATACATTACACAAACTACTAATAAACTAATACAATGTAATATATCTTCTTATGATATTTTTTTTATTAACTTATAACAACTATCTTTCTATTATAATTAAATATATAAAATTTATCATCATTTTTGTCATCTAGTTTTTGTGGTATTATTATTATTATTTTATTGTTCATACCATCTCTACACTTAATAATATTATTTCTTTAAAACTTAATTATGTTTTTTTGTCTTTACAAAAGTAGCACTATTTTGGATAAGTTTTTTTAAAAAATGTTAGGATAAGATTTTTAAAAAATTGTCAAGATTTAGTCCTTGACATTTTCATAATGTAAAAATTTAGTTTCTACTATCAACAATGGTTTGTTAAATGATGAGTTTGATAATATAAATTTAACTCATCATTGTCATGTCATTTAATTTTTTAATATTTTATTAATTAAAATTAATATTTGAAAATAAGTATCTTAACACATTTAAATATATTTCAAAAAAAAAAAGTCTCAGTAACCCTATCTTCATTCCCTATTGCCACAGCCAAGTCATTTGAGTAACCTAAAATAACTCATGTCTAAAATCTCATTATGTAATCAGATGGCGAGGATAGTCTTCCATTCAAGATCATTTCCTTTGTAGGACTCAAGGGCAGTCCCAAAATCTTCAAGCTTGGCATTGCATATGGGAGGCTTATAAAGGAAGAAGTAAAAAAAAAAAAATACCTTGATGGGTCAATAATGCAACATATATAGGAGGAGCAATACAGTAAAGATTTTGGGTGGGGCCAAATTTTCAATTTTTTTTACTAATGGGTTCACTGAATTTCTACACATCGTTGGTCAAGAAGCCTTAAAGAAGAGAGGATGTCGAGACTACAAAAGTGTATAACAAAATGGGACTTGAGGAGAGAAGCTACGAGACTAGTATGAGTAGAAGTAGGTCAAGCCGTTCGTTGGGGGTTTACAGCTTGACTTGACTCATTTAGTAAAAAGGTTGGGCCCAAGCTTATAAATAGGCCTATTTAATTAAAAAAATCAGATCAAGCTTTTAAAAATGCTTACAAAACTAACCTCTTTATATACAGTTTTATACTTATAAATTATATTATTTTAATTTATTTCTATGAAATGTCTAATTTACCTATATGTTTAAAATTAAAAATCCTAACGCATATTCACTTTCATTTTCCTTCTCAATTGTTCATGAACGCAGCCACTAGTCATCCTATGCTCTTTACTTTATAATTCAAACTGAACCAAACAGTTAAATTAATGAAGAATTAAAGCATAACTTGGACAATATTTCACTCTACTAAATCAATATAACTAATTTTGAACAAACTATTCTTAATAAGAAATGGGTAATTATAACATTGAAGATTATAACTACTAAAATAATTTATAATAGTTAAAATCTTTATTAAAAAGAAGTCCTCTAAGATGCTAAAAGTTTTTAGTTTCATAAATATAGAAATTTTGTCTCACAAAATATGAATTCCCTATCTAAAAAAACTAGAGAAGATAAATCTCAAATTAAAATGAAAAATAGTTGCATAAAATGGGAACTTTCAAAGGCCAGATAGATATAAAGAACATGAAAATTTTGGATAGCTTAAGAAATTGCTCTTCCAACCTAACCATTATTTTTTTTATGGTGACAAGTACTATAAAAAAAATGTATTTTAATTTTATGGTAGGAGACCAGTACATGACAACAAATTAAAATTTCATATAAGAAATCAATTAGATATTAGATGCAGAAGATAATTGTTATGAAATATAACTCTCCTAAAAGCCCAATATGTAGCACTAAGGCACATGAATAATTTAAGAAAAAAATGTTTGGGTGAATCATAAAAGAGATAGAAAACAAAGAAGAGAAATGTAATAAATTATAAAATTTAAATAGATATTTGTTTTAATATATGCCACTAGATTCGTGGATCTATTGTTATAATCTACTATTTTATCTACTTTTGGCATTGTAATTTTGCTTATAGAATATTGCAAAACAATTTGTTTTTGAATAAATAAAATTTACAAGAGAAATAAAATAATGATTCTTTTTACTTCAAGGCAAAATAGACATGTGGTTTATTATATAGTAAATATTCTATTTTTGCATATGAGGTATATATGTATCTAAATTTCGTTAAAATCTTAATTATTTTTACTGACTCTGTGTCATTGTAAAAAGGACAGCAAAATGTCTTCCCGAGTCGAGAGCAATTCGTCTACTCCTTGAATGAAGTTACTAAACAAGTACCAACATATTCAAGGTACAAGACAACTTAAAAGAAAGTGAAAAAAGTAAAGATCAAGTTAATGAAGATTCAGTCATCAAGAGGAAAAGACAGAAGACATCACTTATTTGGAATGATTTTGATGAAGTTAAAGTTGGTGGAGTGAAGAAAGTTGTATACAAATATTGTAAAGGTAAATTATGTACCGGTGGAAAAGGGTCCAACACTAGCCATCTAAGGAGTCATGCTTAAAATTACTTACAAAATAGGCTAAAAGTTGCTATAGAAAAGAAGCAATCTCTCATCCCATTTCAACCTTCCAATTCTGGTAATCCATTGATTAGTCCATTGATTAGTCCTGGTATTAGATTCTCTAATGAAAGGATGAGGAAGATAATTAATGTTACTATAATGGTGCATGGACACTCATTTAGTGTAGTTGAGGATGAGATTTGATTGTGGGCCTTTCAATATGCAAATTCTTATTTTCAAAAAGTTAATCGTAAAATCGCAAAGATGCACTATATGAGACAAAGAAAAAAAAAAGTTAAAAAATCTATTGAAAAGTGTTAACAAGATTAGCTTAACTACGAATATGTGAAAATCAAGTCACCAAGTAGCTAAATATACGGTTGATTTTGTGAGACAATTATTCTTTAAAAGATTACTTATCATTAAATAGTAAGTTATTCCTTTGTGGTGCCTTGTTTCATGTAAGGTGTTGTACCCATATACTAAATTTGTTAGTTTAAGATGGTGTTAGTCAGATTAAGGATATTATTTACAATGTTTGTAAAAGTGTAAAGTATATCAATCATAATGATGGAAGGTTGGAGGCTTTTTGTGACATTGTTGAGCAAAAGAGATTGAAAGATAGAAGGCTTATAATTGATTGTCTAACGATATGAAATTCTAAATTTTAAATATCGTCCAATGCTTTAAAATTCAACATTACATTTGGAACTTACAAAGAAAAAGAGCCACATTATAATTACATACTTTAATTGAAGAATAGGATAAAGTTGAGAAATTTTGTCAAGTTCTAGAAGTGTTTGATGTTGCCACTCATGCAATCTCAAGAAGTGAATATCCCACCGTTAACTTGTATCTTACAGTAGTTTAGAGGGTGAAACAAGTTATTGATAATTGGTGAAGGATATAGATTACTTTATAGGAGAAATGGTAGAAATGGTAGTTCTAATGAAAGCAGAGTTTGATAAATATTGGCAGAGTGTAATTTGTTAATGGCTATTGCTAGTGTCTTAGACTTAGGTGTAAATTTCATAATGCTGGAATGTATGTTTACCTTTGATTTATAAACCTAAAGAAGTTACTCAAGAGAATATAAAGGTTTGAAATTCATTGGACGAGTCATATGATGAATATGTGTCTTTTAATTTAGAGATTCATCCCATTTAGAAGTGATTAGCATTGACAATAATTTTTCATCTTCTACTCAACCTACATCTTCAAAGGTTAATGGGTTTAAGCAAATTATGAGCATTGTGCATGAAAATGAAGCAATCCTACCAATGAAATTTGAATTACAAGCTTATCT